TGGTATCTTTAAAACTGAGCTAAAACTTATTTAAGAAAAGTGAGGTCAAGGTCAAAGGAAAGGTCAAGGTAAAAAATATTGATGCAGTTGAATAGCTCTCATCAGTATGTATCAGCATATGAAGTTTGTTAAAAATATCTTGAATGGTTTCATTAAAACTGAGCTAAACACTAATTTAAGAAAAGTGAGGTCAAGGTCAAAAGAAAGGTGAAGGTCAAAAAATGTTGATGCAGTTGAATAGCTTACACCAGTATTTATCAACATATGAAGTTTGATTACACTATCTTGAATGGTATCTTAAAAACTGAGCTAAACACTAATTTAAGAAAAGTGAGGTCAAGAACAAAGGAAAGGTCAAGGTCAAAAAATGTTGATGCAGTTGCATAGCTCTCATCAATATCTATCAGCATATGAAGTTTGATAAAAATATCTTGGATAGTTTCTTTGAAACTGAGTTTTGAACAGAGCTAAACGCAAAGTGTGACGGAAGGACGGAAAGATGGAAGGACAGAAGACGGACATGACAAACACTATATGCCCCGGCCATATTCATGGCGGGACATAAAAATTTCAGTTTCCAAAAAAGTTGAATTTGAGGAAAAATTTGGCCTATCTATTGTGTACTACCTTAAAGCTGAACACGACTCGTAAATAGGCATACGCCATATTCCATTATACTATCTACGATACCAGCACCAGGATATACTCTTCGCATTTGTTACACCCGACTGCTTTACTGTCACGGGCATTGGCAAGGAATGGCGATACCTGTTCGTGCTGGTTATCTTGCATTGCCTTTGTTTATTTATTTTATTGCAGTTATGTGTATTTGTGTTTTTTGTATACTGCACTGACCTGTGCAACTGTTGTAAGTTTCTTTAGTATCTTACTCTCCTGGCATAGAAGAAGTACACAGTTACTTTTTGTCTCTACCCAGTGCTGTGTAGCATACATCCATCTACACTGGTGACAACTGATTACACTGAACAGTGACTAAGTGAGTGTCTTATATTAGGGCTCTCAGATATAGCGAGTGAATAATCAAATATGGCGGACAAATTCCTTTTACGAATTGTGTTCAGCTTTAAGCCATAACTGTGTAAAGGTCACCAGGTATTTGTTGATAATTATTATACGTCGCCAATATTATTACGTCACCATTATTTTTTTTTTTTTAAATAACTTGAATCCATCATGCCCCTGACTGTATATAAAGATTTCACTGTACACAATTTATAAAAATCAAAACTTTTTTTATCAAATATAAACGTTTTATCAATATTCATATCAATATCCTAAAACATTGCAAATGTTTTTGGAAAAACTTAATAGGAGTCAAGTCAGCATTCAAATCAGTGAACCAATAAAAATGAAGATGTTATTCACAGCATCCAACAGTAAACATGGTAAATGTGCTTTTAAAGATTAAATAAAATTGAATTTTCTTCAAATGTTCTGAGTTCGTAAAATAAAGTAATTCAACATCCACATCAAGAATTGTCACTGCAAAAGCAAGCTTCCACTATCTTCCAGGCTTCAATCCCACCCATCTCACATTTTACGGTAAAGGATATACATATGTAACCTTTCTTTTCTTTGGTTAACTACTAGAAGCTGGGTTATGTCATGTGGTTTATAGATATTAACCTTTTCTTTAGCATTCATCTGACTCATAAGTTATTTAAAAATCAAATATAATTTAATTCTGCTTGTAACACGCTATTTGATTGGATAAAAAATTTACTTTATATTGTCTAAACTATATTGCGTATGTCACAATGACTTGAGTCAAAAACGTATTGATTCGCCTGACATTCGTGCAATTTGAAGTAATTTTTCAGGGCAATCATCTTATTTTCTTACACTAAATGAATGAAAATTAAATTATAAGGAATGAATTTAATAGCTACCCAATTTATACAGCATAAACTGGGTTGGAACAGTTCACATTTTTTTTATAAACTGCTTTGTGGTTTATAAAGCATAAACTGCCCCTACCCAGTTTATACCATATAAACTGGGTATAGCTATTAAATTCATTCCTTAAATCAACGTAGAGCATTTTACTCATATATGCAAATAATTTAATTCTGGTTTTCATGCACCATTTTATTGGATTGAAAATTTACTTTGTTGTCTATATCACAATGACTTATGTCAAAAACATCAATCTGCCTGATCTTACATTCAAATTTTGTATAATTCTAGGATAATTGTTTTATTTTTTTCACTTAATGAAAGAAATTTAAATTGTAAGGAATGAATTTAGTAGCTACCCAATTTATACTGTATAAGTTGTGTGCCTCACAGTCTATAAAGTGTAAACTGCTTTAACCCAAAGAATTGGAAGCAATTAAATCCATTCCTTAAATAATCTAATTCTTATCAGCTTATCTAATTGATTGGATAGAAAAATTATTTTATATTGTATAACCTGTGCTGCTATGCCACAATATGACTTGTGTCAAAATGTATCAATCACACTGACTTTACACTTAGTTTGTACAATTTGCAGGCATTTTTGAAGGACAATTACCTAATTTTTGTATTAAATGACAAAAAATAAATTATAACAAATAAATTAAATAGCTACCCAAATTATACTTACATGCATATAACCTTGGTTAAAATAGATTACAGTTTGTTTAACCACTTCCCACTTTAGACAGCATAAACTGACCTAACTATCTATTAAATTAAGTCCTTAAACAACATTTCTTAGCAAATGGACTTTACTTCTTCAATGCAAATGATCCTGATGATTGCTTTAAAATATAATGCAAATACTACACAGTTATGTTAATTAAAATCACTCTAGGAATATCTATTAAATTTAAAGATCACAGAAAAGGTGATTTATTAGTACAAATCCTATCACTTTTAAGAGGAATGATACATCCTGTAAAGTATTAAATTATGATTATTAGCTTGAGATAACACACCTTGATATTCATTAATTTAAAATGTACAATATTTATTGACAAATGAGAGTTTTAAATTGGAATCACTAAAGCAAAAAAATTCTTAAAAATCTCACATCAATAATTTTTTATAAAAAAAAAAAAAGACTACCGTATATACTCGCCTATTAGTCGGTCCGCCTATAAGTCGGTTGTGTTTTTTGAGGTTATTTTGGAGGAATTTGGCATTGACCCGCCTATAAGTCGGTACAACTTTTTGCCAGAATCCGTGGACAATTTCAATTTTTTTTCGTCACTAATAAATTTCATATCAATACTCTAATGTATTTAGCTGTGTTCAAATAATATGTTGGGATATGACATCGATAATTAATATTTTATTTTTCAATAAATCAAACCACTGCCATTTTCGTTTTCTTTTTACACTGTTTTGTTTAAATCCCTCGTTTTGTATATTTTATACACCGATCTCGATCATACGCGGATGTCAGTCTCTTTGGCATGGTGATGAACTACATGTATGTTATGAGTCTACCAACATTTCAATGATATTTATGAGAAATTTTATAATTACGAGGTGCTCAATGTTGAAACCCTATCTACTGTTCTCGATTTATAAAGGCTACATTTGATCTATTATCGGCAATTATTGTCTCATAATTACCTGTATCCCTTACCTGACACCGTGTTTATTTAGTGGCACGCGCCCCGAGAGAATTGTGTACCACACATGAAAACATTTTCGTAAACAATCGAGTTTTAATAGAGTCAAAAATAATATTCTGAATAATTTTTTAACAATATTAAATCTGTTTTCAAAAATATTGTCGATGGTACATATGATTATACGTTAATGCTGAACGTATTATATCGGGTGCGCAATTCAATTTTACCGATAAACGATAGATTTACAGTAAGTCACAAGTTAATGAACAGACTGATTCAAGGAATATTATTGTTAATAATTAATAAAATAAATAATATACATCCAAGATGAAAATAAAATTATTATAATATGTAAATACTTGTACTTTATGCATAATCTTAGAATACATAAATAATATAATAAAAAAAGTATGTCCAGACATTTGTCAACGATAATCGTCGAAGTTGTGTAAAAAATACTACATACCAATCTTTTGATGACTCACCTATAAGTCGGACATAGAGTTTTGGACCAAAATTTGACTCCCAAAAAACCGACTTATAGGCGAGTATATACGGTATGCTGACAATTTTTAATTTGCAATGCATTCCTGTCATAAAAAAAGAGACAAAGTGTGGTTGACCTCCCTGAATTAAATTGTTCTGTTAACATTAAAGAATAATGCATCTGATACTGATCAATATCTAAATAATTACTGTAGGTCTATGTACAGAGTCCCATAGCTATTTCAGAATACTGATTACACACTAGATGCTTTAGTTATCAACATTACTTCAACATTTTAATATCCTCTCTATCTTTATAAAATAGACATAGCTTTCAAGCATACTGTAATCAAACTTAATTTTAGCCGGCATCATATTTTAGTGCCCTTTGTGCTGTTTCATAGTCAGTTAATTCACGTAAACACAAATACATGATTAAAACTAATAATTGCAGTTTTCAAGACTCAAGTGTGCTAATTTTATGAATGTGCTCATCAAATGTAGAAGAAGATTGCATTAAATTTTGAGTGTGGTCATTTATGTACAAAACAAATATATGTTTGTCAATGAGTTATCTTCATTTGTGTGTCAGAGCAATATGCTCTTTAAAATACAGCCTTTATACCTTGCTACCATGGTCAATGCATTTTGCATCAAAATTATGACTTTATAGCACAGCTATAAAATCAATAACATTTTGATACTGTCATTTTCATTGTTAAATATTCCATCTAACTACCACAAAAGATAAAGTATATAAAATATTGAATGGCTGAAGCTCAAAGTCTCGATCATTAAATGTCAAAATAAATAATAAATCTGCACAACTGTCTATCTGTATGAACACAATAGATATTGTGTATATATATATATATATATATATATATATATATATATATATATATATATATATATATATATATATATATATAAAAGAGCTGATGCTCATGAACTTCTTAATCATTGAATGTCAATATTATATCTCAACAACTGTTACTCCATGAATTCAATCAATATTGTACATACTTTCTCTTTGAACATGTCTGCTGAGACTGCATTTACCTTGTTTATCTTTTCTTCTCTCAATTCCAATTGTGTCTTTATATCATCAAGTCCAATTCAAAACTCTTATTTCAAAAAACAATGGTAAATGCAGGTTCCCACAACTAACTACTAAACAAGCTAAACATGAACATGAACAAATAAATAAATATCACAGTCATGCGTGGATACATATCTGATAGGCCGCCATCAAACTGACCCCTCAGCACTGTCACTTGTATCTTTCACATACTTTCTGTTAAAAATATCCACTGTTGTCTTGTGGCAGGGTCGAAGGTCAAAATCACAAAATCCAATAGAAAACTTGCTCCCTGCAGCTTTATAAATGTCCAGGCCTCTTCCAATTTTGACCACCCATCCAGTATCAAACCTGAAGAACCAAAAAATATATAAATAAACAAACGTTAAACTAGCCTTAAAACTATAAATTTTAAATGCAGCAGCATTGACACTATGCAGAATGAAATTGAACAACCTCCTAAAATTAAACATCTGATTACTTAAACCCTGTTTCAAGTTTTGCAAAGATTAATATTTTATATGTCATGTGCAATAATCATTTCTTCAACAAAATCATTGCCTGATGATAATGCTTTGCTTTAAATATGCACAAGTACTTTTTAATTATTATCATACTTTTTTGAGAACAACACAGTTCAACAAATTAATATGTATTCAGGTCTAGAGCACTTGAGAACCAATAGATAAGGACACCTGATCTCTCTGTCATGAAGTGTATCCGAGTATTTGACAGTCAGCATGATTTTATGATTACGAAGACTTTCTGTTAGTTGTCCCAATTTTTCATGTTGTTGGGCTTGGAGATCAGGACTCTGAAAGATGCAAAATGAAATTTGTCAGGAAAAAGTTCAAAGAAGCTCACTGAATCCATAAAGAGTTATCCTTTCATACTGCATCATTATCTAAGTATCCTTTTAATTTTGCTTAATTGTCTTCAATTTCTTTGATATTTAATCAGCTAAACACATTTTCATTCTCTGAATTCCTAATCACAATAAATACACTTAATTTTAATCCATTTTAAACCTACCTCATCACTGCCTGTCAAAAGGCGGATTTCTTTGACTGGTGCTTTAGATTTCACAACTAATTCACAGAATCTTAGAAAATTGTATATCTATAAAAAAAATATATTGAATTATAACAGAAAGATTAAGCTAAAATGTTTTAGAAATACACTTCTTGTTTCATGAAATCTATAATCACAATGCTTAATTTTGAGCTTATATAATTAACTTATTTACACACTATAATAAATTTATCCTTACCTGATGGTTAGAACGAATATATGGATCCTCCACCTCTACCTCTGTGACAAACTGGTTCAGGAATTGTGAGAACAGTCTCTCATAACTGTATCCTGTATCATTGCTCTCTATCTGAATCTGCTCATGCTGTTTACCAGCTGAAATATGTCACAAAATTATTTAGAGTATGTTTAGTATTACTACCAGCAAATTCAAAGAACTGTGATTCCCCGCTTTGGTTAGGATGCAATTATTTATTGCATATTGATATTGTAACTGTCTTGTCTTTGGGTCCCATCTTTTCTGTATATCATATAATTTAAAAAAAGATTTAAATTTCAAAATAAAGTTACAGCCAAGATTAAAGTTTCTTAAAACTGCATCAAACTTCAAGGTCATGAGGTCAAATATCATAATACAATCCAAAAGGTCTTGCAACGTACAGGTAATGCACATGTAAAAAAAAAAAAATAGGAAAGCACAGACTCTTCTGGAGCAAAAGTTACAACTAAAGTAAAAAATAGAAAGTAGGTCAAATTTCAAAGTCAAGGTCAAAAGTGAAAGTTCTTTCTGAAAAGTGTTGTCACAGGTAATGATCATGTAAAATATGAAAGCACTATCTTTTCTCATACAAAATTTATAAGGTTAAAAAGTTTTTGTGACTGATGAACAGATTGACAGACAAATGAAATTTAATGTCCCCTCACTTTTGCAAAAGCGAGGGACAAAAAGAAATGTGTGCAATCAATAAAAAAGATATATCAAGTCAATAACATCCACATGGTATGCCAAATTTTAAAAGTTTTTATCATCCAGTCAGAGCTTGAACTGCCTTTTGCCAATGTCAATTTTTTTCCTAAAGTGACAATAAAAGATCTTATAAATTATGCAATTCAAAATAAGTATAATAATCATGATCAACACAAGCTGTAAAGCCATAACAATGTTTCCACTGATTTACCTTTTCTAATAATAGATTTGTTGCAATGATCATATCTTCAATCAATATTAATGAATTCAAAGCAATTTAAGAAACACAGAATATATGTTTCAAGTCCATGTATACAGTATTTCAAACTTTCAAAGTTTACATATTTGTATATTTTATACAAGACACAATAGGGCTTCTAGTTGGGTCTGTGTTGTATTTAGACATATCGTTGGAGGCCCTAAAATTCATTATGGTCCTATGCCCTTTTTTATTTTCGTCAAGTATCTCTAAAGATTGTCTGTTGCTGCACATACATTGATAGAAAAATATTATTTGGATTGCTTTTGTCATATTTCACAACCGAAGACGATTAAAAGGTCAAAACAGGTAAAAAATAAAGTCTGAAACAAAATTTCACCTTGAAAAGGAAGTACAAAATATTTTTTTGTTGTGTCCTATCTCAAGTGTTTTGGTGCTATCGTACGCATTGTTTACATTATGTCAACAGAATTCACATATCCAATTTGGAATTTTTTGCCTTTATAATTTCATTTCCGCTGAGGTCACAACCCTAGGACCCGTTTTTCAAAATGGTGCCAGGCAAACATTGTTACTTTGAACAAGATGTAAACAACCAATAAAGACATGATTTTTCTAAACTATCAGTTCAATTCAAAGAAAGAATATTTATAACATAAGACTTACGAAATGAAACAGTATTTCAAATTTACTTAAACAGACACAATCAAATTAGGGTAACAACTCATGGACCTCAGAGAATATAAGAGACTTACAGAGTTATAAAAAAAAACATTTTTCTTTTCTGGTAAAAGGTGCCAAAAATATTTTAGGCTCTAGTGGGAGCCCTAAGAGAGTTTTAAACAAGACAGAATAGTTTATATGTAAATCAGCTGTAGTCTTCGTAATACTGTAGACCTACATTTTCCGTGTGGAATAAATTTACGCTATGTATGCAGTCACAATTTTTTCTGCAGAAATTTGTCACAGTTTACTTAAAATGCATTAAGGACATGTAATGACAATCTAAGAAATCCACATAATTTTTTTTATCACAGATTGTACAGAAATTAAGATTCCACGGAATGATGACCTTTTGAAAAAAGTATGTTTACAGTATTAGCTTGCAAGTACACCCCTAATTAAGCATGGTTGCCTTATCCTATGCTCTTCTTGGATACTACTATGGCCAATTAAATTTTTGTATTGATTTTCTTGTTTTAATGAGAAAGTTTTACACATACATGAAATCAACCATTCCATGAAAAATGTAAAAGAGTACCTGTTTTCTCATCCTTTACAAACTTCTTAAGTTCCTCTGCCCTATCCATGTACTCTTTTATCTTCTGTCTGAATCTTTCTTTCTTTGTCACATCTGTTTCTCCTAAAAATGCATTAAATCTTTCAAAATGCCTTTATTACAAATCACTTATCTATCCTTTCAAGTCATTCTTAACCCCACCCCTTAAGTTTTAGGGCTGTCACGGTTACCCGAAATAACCGAAAAACGTGGTCCAAATTGATCGGTTTGGTTTCAGTTCCATTTTTCCGGATTTTGGTTTGGGTGTGGTTTATATATTACAATCTGTTTAATACAAAAAATGGCTTCGAAATTAAAAAGACTGATGGCGGTAACAGTGATAAATAAACACTTGTCACGAAAGGATTAGATAATTATCAAAACGAGCAGGAATGTTCGAGTTGTGGCTAACAGTAGGCCTAGTAGTCCTAAACACCAATGTCTTGACGTTAACATGGTTAAGACTTGTTTTCAGTGTGAATTTAACATAACAAATAAAGATTTTTCAAGTTAAATTCATGAAATTTAGGTTTAAAATAGATGTTAATAACCCAACCGAAAAACCCGAAACCGAACCGAAAATTTACAGAACCGACCCGACCCGAAAAATTTTGGAACTGTGACAGCCCTATTTAGTTTCCATTTATTTAAATTAGGAGTGAAACGGTTCACTGTGGTATCGATTCACCGCGGTATTTTTTCTCGGTTTGATACACGGTGCAAAATCTCTAATTTTCGGTTCGGTTCATTTTTCGGTCAGGATCGTTATTCAGTCGGGTTTGACATAAGGTAAAACACGTTACTCAGTATAAATAAGTATAGAAAACGTAAATTTTTGATGACTGATAGCTTGTAAAATAATTTTTGACAGTCAAATAATTTTAATCAATTTCTTCTAGTCAATTTGCAAATAAAATTCGTAAAATATGTGACTAGATTTAGAAAAAGAAAGCATAAAACAACGTTGAATTTGTTACCTTCTATCAAAATGTATCATATCGAAAATAACCGAACCGAGACAAAATTATACAATACGTATCGAACTGTGAAGGAGGTGTAACGTTTCAACCCAATTTCAATGCCATTAGACAGTACGGGCAAACTGATGGTGCATGACAACAGTTAGATTGTTCATCTAAAATATAAATAATTATTATACATACATAGAGTTTTTTTTTTTAAATTAAATAACTGGAATTTTTATTATGGCACTTTGATGAATTAGTGTCAGTACAATTTCATTGGAAGTATGATTAATCACTATAGTAAAAAAATCACTGTACATGTGAAAATGTTGACAATGTGGAAATATCGACAAATGATTAATAACCACTTGTCAAAATTGTCATCGTTAGAAAAATACCAACTACTAATAGACCTTCCAAGTTTCCACTTCTTAGATATATAAAATAAAGAACTCCCAACATATTAGTATATCCATGTCTACACTAGTCACTACACTAAATTAGAAGAATATAAGTTCAGTCCTTAACTGAGAAACAAAACCCGAGTACCTTTAAGAACCTCAAGCAGTAATTGTAGGCCCTCCTGATAACATGTCACTGCCTCATCATAGCGTTTACTGGAGTCTAATTCTACAGCCCTCTTCAGTATACTGATGGCCGAGCTTTCCACACCAGGTAACCTGTCTGCCATTACTGTAAAAAACATAATTAATACATTTTGGCATCATATTTATATATCTTTGTGAAATGAAGATTAAATTTGATATTTAACTTTAACTTGAAGTAAACTTTTTCAAGAAAAGGTTCAAGAAAGATTAAATTTTTTTATTAGTTTAAAATGTCTCATCTGATACCCTGATGATTCAAATAGAAAGTGAGAAACACAATTGACGGGTGCAACAACCTCAGAATTAAGAACCAGAAGTCTCTGAGGAGACTGTAGCTCTACTGGTTTGTATTTATAACGAGGGAAGATAAAAGTAGCACTTGGACTTGAAACAGCAATAAATACAATAATGATCCTTGGTTTAGTCTCTTTATGTGGCAAGATTTATTGCAATCAGACTAAAACTGTAGGAAGAGTAGCCATTTGAAAGAATTTTACAGAAATTTTGATTTTAGTAACCATAGCAACATCATTCAACAAAATCAAAAAGCAATAAAGACAATTATGTATCTTAGTGTAGTCTACTTGTGTGCCAGGTTATACTGAAATCAGACCAAAACTGTAGGAAGATTAGCATTTTGAAAGTATTTAACAGAAATTTCTATTTTTAGTAACCATGGCAACACCGTTCATCGAAATCAAAAACCAATAAATAGAATTATGTATCTTAGTGTAGTCTACTAGTGTGCCAAGTTATATTGAAATCAGATCAAAACTGTAGGAGGAGTAGCATTTTGAAAGTATCTCAAGGAAATTTCTATTTTTAGTAACCAAGGCAACTCCATTCATTGAAATCGGAAAAAAAATGATGTACAGAATTATGTATCTTAGTGTAATCTACTTGTGTGCCAAGTTATAGTGAAATCAGACCAAAACTGTAGGAAGAGTAGCATTTTGAAAGTATTACAGAGAAATTTCTATTTTTAGTAACCATGGCAACACCGTTCATCGAAATCAAAAACCGATATGCAGAATTATGTATCTTAGTGTAGTCTACTTATATGCCAAGTTTCATTGAAATCAGATCAAAACTGTAGGAGGAGTAGCGTTCTGCAAGTTTTTCAAAGAAATTTCTATTTTTAGTAACCATGGCAACACCGTTCATTGAAATTAAAAACCAATACATAGAATTATGTATCTTAGTGTAGTCTACTTATATGCCAAGTTTTATTGAAATCAGATCAAAACTGTAGGAGGAGTAGTGTTTTGAAAGTATTACAGAGAAATTTCTGTTTTTAGTTACCATGGCAACACCGCTCATTGAAATCAAAAACCAATACAGAGAATTATGTATCTTAGTGTAGTCTACTTGTGTGCCAAGTTATACTGAAATCAGACCAAAAGCAGGGCTCTCGATTCTCTATAATTGGGGCCGTTTAAAGGCCCCATTCCCAATTCAAAAAAGATACCTTTTTCCCAATTTAATGTTTTAATTTTCCCAATTGGTCACTTCCCCAAATATTATGTTAAAGAACAGTAAGTAAAATATGTAGTTCCTTTACTTGTTATTCATATTTCTCTATATTACAAAATAGAAATTTAGTTGATAATAACCACCAGAAACTCAATATATAATGAATTTAATGGATATTGTCTACTTATGATTTTCCCAAATTTCCTCAAAAGGTTGCTAATTTTCCCAATTTTCACAGCCCCGGCCCCATCCCAAAAACTGGTGTGAGAGCCCTGAAAACAGTAGGAAGAGTAGCATTTTGAAAGTATTACAGAGAAATTTCTATTTTAGTAACTATGGCAACACCGTTCATTGAAATCAAAAACCAATAAACAGAATTTATATGTATCATAGTGTAGTCTACTTATATGCCAAGTTTTATTGAAATCAGATCAAAACTGTAGGAGGAGTAGTGTTTTGAAAGTTTTTCAAGGAAATATCTATTTTTAGTAACCATGGCAACACCGTTAATCGAAATCAAAAACCAATAACAGAATTATGTATCTTTGTGTATTCTACTTGTGTGCCAAGTTTTATTGAAATCAGACCAAAACTGTAGGAGTAGTAGCATTTTGAAAGTATTTCCCAGAAATCTCTATTTTTAGTAACCATGGCAACACCGTTCATCGAAATTAAAAACTGATGTACAGAGTTATGTATTTTAGTGTAGTCTACTTGTGTGCCAAGTTATATTGAAATCAGATCAAAACTATAGGAGGAGTAGCGTTTTGAAAAATTGTTTACAGACGGATGGACGACGGATGACGGACATTTACTATCGCATAAGCTCTTCTGGTCTCTGACCAGTAGAGCTAAAAATAAAAAAACTATTTAATAACAGAAATGTTGTAACCCGTGTTTACAAAAACTTTACATAGCTGACGATTTTGTCAACAAAACCAATTTCTTTCTCTCATTGGACAGAGAAATGTCTACATTGGATTCCACTGCAGTAAAAATTATGAACCATTTTATGTAATAAGGGGAAATTGAACAAAAACGATTTTCTCTGCCACAAGGACAGTAAAAACTGACACAGATGTGGATCATTGGCTCCCAAACAGGGGATAAACCATCAATTTAGGTGCTGTGCCCAACCTGTTTGTTGATATTACCAGGGTTGTCCCCAAGACTGGTGAATTTCTCTGCCTAAAATGACATTCTCCAGTTATTCTGGTATTCCTCCTCGCTCCCCTGTTAGGAGAGGAACTCAAGACCCGCCTCTTCTTTTTAAATGCCCCCTGCTATTTCAATTCTAAGTGACAACCCTGTATTACTAATTAATAAGAGTTCCACTCTCCTATTTCCATTTACATATTAAAACTATTTACCTAACAGTAAGACTACTTTTAATCTGAAGGCTAAGCACCGATTACGGTTTCATTTGACACGGCTTTTGATGGTCAAAGCATCATACCCCGCGTTTTTTCAAACTTGTCCTCTTTTTCTGGCTTCAAATTTCATGATTCGGCTCCAAAATAAAACTTGTTGTGATTCAGAAGGTGTTGTTAGTCACATCCCTGCTTCTGGAATTCCATATCGCATTCTATCGGTTTTCAGTGACATGAATATTCAGTAAGCAATGCAATTTGATTTTGCATTTGCGATTTCTCCCCTTCTGGAACCGATTTCGTTTTTGGCAGTTAACTCGTGCTTTTCGATCCGGAAGTAAATGTAAATGCCGAAAAGATGACAGATTATAATTAAAATTCCGGATAATTAGAATATTAGGAGCATAAATATAACAAAATTCAATAGATGTGTGTAATTAACATGATGAATATGCTATATAATTGTAACTGTTTTGTGATGTTTTGTAAACTACTAACAGACTGGGTTTCACTCCTGACAAGAAATCCTTCAGCGTATTCAGAGTAAATGGCAGCATCCTGGAACTTAATGAAAGAGTATATATGCATGCCCTGGAACATTAATGACAGTTGGAAATGCGGGATAATTCATACATCATGGCCGTACGGTAGGAACCGGGGGCCATGTCGTCCCCCCCCCCCCCCCAATAACGATAAAGGATGACTGTACTTAACGCCGGGTTTTTTATCTTTTTCGGTCGCTTCTTTTGCTTTTATATCATAATCTTATTTTATTTTTATATATTTATAAAAGAATCCTGTCAATTTCGACCCGAATTTAAATATTAAAATGATTTTAGACTGTGATACAATAAAATGATTCTATGTTTTCTGTCCTTACTCTTTCCAAATATAGAGAATTTACACTTACCTGCCCCTGATTAAACATTAAGTAATTAAGAGGTGGAGCTAACATTGTAAGAATGGGTCTAAAATTAGACTAGATAAATAACAATGACATGTACTAAAAAATATGAGATCACTCTTTCCCATTCCCTCTTTATGGCACAAGTACACTATTTACAGAGGTTTCAAAAACGAAATTAACAATATGAGCGACGTCCATGTAAGTAAAGAATCTTTTAAATCAATGCCTAACAATTTAACTTGTTCAAGCACTTTGTCCTAGTTACCGCAAAACATGCTACTTTACAAGTCACGTGACGGAATTTAGTATTCACAGAGTTACCCGAGGGAAGAAGTCACGTGGTGAATTATAATATTCACATGCCACAGCCCTTAGTTACAATAGAGAGAGCGAATGTAAGAAGTAGCAGTTTTTTCTCGTTTAAACCATGAGCGCATGTTTGTCTATTAATCTCCTTTTGATACAACATTGTTAATGCAAATATACAACTACTGTTAAGGAGGCTCATTACACGACTTTTTGATGACGTACTACACAAAAAAATAAACCTCCATTGTTTCGTCCGTTTTCTCCTGGGGACGAATTGTACAGGTTTGCTTTGCTGATGATCTAAATCTTTAAAACGCTCTAAAAATAGACTACATGCGATGTTGTAAACAATGGGAACTTGGTAACGGATTCATAACTAAATCACGAACGAAGAAAGGTTACTTTTAAGTGTAGATCAAAGAGAATGACAGTCAAATCTTCCCTACCCAGGTAGTGTACAATGTCATAGCGAAAGCAGCAAATTCTACCACTGACAACATGTAGATATAGAGGAAATTCGAGTTGAAATCTACAACCTCGTTGAAATAAATTATAATTGACTTGCGCTTTTATAGAACAGTACTCTTGTTGGTTTGTGTGCTTGTTTTTATTTCTTTGAAAAATGTCTATTTATTCTAGAAATTTTAGCTTATTCTGAATCTGATATGTTCGACCGTTCCTGAGTGTTTTGAGTCAGGGGGATTTAGGAAAGGTAACTCTTGCAAGTGGACATTTTATTCTAATTATTTTATAAATTGGAATTTTCATTTCCTGAAAACATTTTTCATTCAATTTGTCACTTGTCCATTAATATACATTTCTTGTCTATTTATAACTGATTTTCCAAATTATTCATGCAAAAATTAAGAAGAAATTAAGAAGAAAATCACATTAATTCTTTTTTGGGAGAAAATTCTTTTTTCTAATAAAAATAATATTGAATATTATGAAGTGTTGATATATTTCTTACATATCTGAAGATGATATCCATCACTTGACACTGAGATTTCTGCAATACTATTAATCAGAAACTTGAAATAAAACATTTTACCAAAATCAGAAGAAAGAATAAAAAAATCCTTAAAAAATGTTTATCGTATCATAATCTCCATTTGGATATTTGAAATCTTCATAAAAAGTGGTGCTGTAATGAAATCTAAAATAAACTGTGGGTGTAATAAGCCTCCTTAAACTGAGAACAATAGACAAACATGCGCTGACTATGTATAAAGTCAGTGAAAAAGTGGGCGTCCTCATTATCGTACGGAGATTCAAGGAATTGTGATGACCCCCGCCTTAGAAAACAGCTTCGTACTTCGTAAATACGTACTTTTATTTAATGTAATTACATAAAGTTGTAGATTAGATGTTGACCATTCGTGCAATTAAAAGAAAAATGCTCGTTTTTAAAGTTTATTTTGTCGCAATTTTCGCATGTCCTGAAGTGCAGTCATCCTTTGCCGATATATAGAATACTCTAAAAAACATACCTACTATTAATGATAAATTGTATTTGCTGACAAGGCCATTGCATCGAACATAGACCTTCCGAAATGACGACTTTAAACTGACGAGACTGCTGATATTCTTTTTTCATTAACTTGTTTGTCAATAACTTACCTCGTTTTAGAAATTGTTCATACGTAGAGCATGCTCTTGTGTATCGAATCAGCTGAGAGATATAAACCCCGTATTCAGGGGATGAAGGTATATTGCTGCAAAAGTAAGAGAAGTTGACGATTGAAAAGTTAAAGTCATTACGTTTATCATAAAGCTTGGTTGTAAGATTACCATTAACGTCTTTTTCTAGTAAAATATCTAAATATGAAACAGATGTGTCAGACTTTGTGGTGTCTTCTATTTCAAGCTCACCGGGATATATCGTGTCGACAAAAGAATGGAAATAACCATCGTTAATTGACAATACGTCGTCGATATATCTAAATATCGAGTTGAAGACCACAGCAAGTGTTTTCTTCTTTTCATGTATAAGATTTTGAACAAATTATGCTTTATATGAATATAAAAAAAAGATCTGCTAATAACGGAGCGCAATTGGTACCTATGGAAATTCCAACAGATTGTTGGAAGACCTGGTCTCCAAAAATCACATAGATATTGTCAATCAGAAACTCCAGCATCTTTTTGATATTAACTTCAGAGTACTTGTGTGTACATTCACAATGTTTTTTTAACAAAATAATTTTGCAAATGACCAAGGACAAGGTAAGTAAATTTACGAGTTCCATTTTTATTCAAAAAGCAGCTGTCAATGATATCGAAAAGCCTGGACTTTAATTTGTCGTGGGGAATGGTTGTATATAAAGTTGAAAAGTCGTAAGTTTTTTGTTGTTGATTGTGGTAAAATTTTGTGTTTTCGAGTTTTCCAAAAGTTCCTTGGAATTTAAATTAGATTGACAAGTCACTATACCACGGCATATGTCACTGATTTATCCAACAAACTAGACAGTGATTCGGAATTTCCTTAAATAGTTTCAGGGGTTATTGCCTATTTAGTTATTGTTTCATGGGCTACTTTTACCTATTAGGTTTGTTACTGACTGTCTACAGAAATATATCGGGTTGATCAATCTCATAGACGGCGCCCCAACATCTCGACTATTGTCAGTATCGTGTTTTCTCCAATTTCACATAGTACACTCTTCAAAATATTCAATCTTACCTATAGCCGTCAAGTAATCTTCATAAATCTTTGAGGCACCTTAATTTATTTACTTTCAATAATTTGTTTGCGTTCTAATTAAAACGTTTTTCCCCTCTTGTTTGATCCAATCTCGACGCTACCATCACCTGTCAGGCGCGGATCCAGGAATTTTTTCCGGGGGGGGGGGGGTCCATCCCAGTCAAAAAAAAATTTAAACATTTTTGACAAGCTAAAAAAAAGAAAGAAAGATAAAAGTAAACTCCTTTCCCAAACGTGAAAAACCTATTTCGTGGTTGTGGTGGTGGTGGTGGTGGTTGGGGGGGGGGGGGGGGGGTTAGTCGTTGACTTCTACAGCTTCATACCTATGACTTTTCATACCAACTTTACCACGTTTTCGAGGAGGGTCCGCGTTTTCTAGGGGGGTCCAAGGTCAATTATAGTTGGTTTAGTATATACATTTAATAACTCTGCAAATTTTAGGGGGGTCCAGACCCCCCCCCCCCCGACCCCCCTCTAGATCCTCGAATGGCCTGTGATACAGTCACAACAAATATGAAGTCATTTCTTTTAAGGATCGGATACTCTATAATTTCAAAAAGAAAATATTATGGAAAGTGGTTTCCGTAGTAAATGATTTCTAATATCGAAATGTAAACACAACGCGTCGGCCTAATGCCAGATATTAATTTTCACCTGCTGGACATAGAAATATAGCCGACAGTCACGTGGCGCATTTAAACCAATTAAATTGCGACATTTCACGAGGGAAAAATAAAGTTTGCTATGCGCCTGTCAACTTGTGTGTTTAATAGATAACTATTGTTGTCCTGTTGTTTGTTATACAATGTAACAGTTGTAGTACTTTATTTCAACAGACGGTAAATTAAATATGTTTTTTGTGTACCTTGCATGTGTTATGACTACCCCCCCCCCCCCCGTGTATTTTTTAATGTAATAGAAAGATAGTCTGATGTTCTTTAAGATTTAGTTGATGATAATAAGTTGTAATAAACATGAACTCTTGACATTACAATACACTCTTGCAATGGTAATATGCCTTTTATGCATAATTCGACAAACGACTTACGATGTCAAACACACTGAGTCCATCAAATTTTGCCCATTTTGTGATTTGTATGCTGTTTCAATGCAGTTTTTAGTCAGCCCCCGGGCTGACTAGTTACGGTGGAATGAAACTGCAAGTGCGCTTGCGTAATTTGGAATTCTGGGAAAAAGATTTACACGACTTGTTCTAAAGAAACTCGTACTATTTGCTCCAACCAGGGCGTGCTTCTTCACGCACACTCTAGACCTCGATCTATTTATAGACTGCATTGTGCTTCGTTGTTCTCGGCGAAAAATTAAAGACATAGATTGTTCTTAGTGGGAAATTTGTACTGTTTTATATACTTCTATGAAATTATTTCAGTGCTTCTTATAAAAGATAAGAAGTTTATATATGTAGAGCACATTTAACACTTGATATATATATACCCTCAATCGCCGTTGCAAGTCAAGGATTTGTGACTTTGTGTGTATTCCCCTGGATGTCTGATGCAAGACTCCCTCGATCAATACCTTGCATAAAACATGTACGGGTCGAAATTCACACAATAATTCACTTGCCACAAAGGTCTCAAAACAGTGAAAAATGATGAAAGTTATGAAAATATCATCAGACTACTGTATGACAGTAAATTCTTAAAATTTACATGATGATAGACGTGTAAGTGCCGCTTGTGCACGTGAACCGCGCCGAAAGGTGAGATAATGACCACATAGAACTGCGATAGTTGAGAGAAACTGCGCGGATTTAGACAGCCCCCCCCCCCCGCCCCCGGGAAAGAGTGAGAGAGATTGAATCCAGTATGTTAATCTAGTTTTGCTTTGATGGTAGACATCATTAGTTACATTTTAGGGTATACGTACTGCATGTATAAAAATATTTTGAATTTCCAGGTTTGAATTGTTTTCCATGGCTTTCACTACCTTATTCTGGAAGCAATTCTTTTCTTTCTTAATAACACTAAAATGGATGATTAGACTAAGAAATTGATTTAAATATACATGCACTATGCACCTCCCTCCCCCCGCCCCAATCATGCATTGCCTGGAACCTGCACGATTAAAAACTTTTATTTGATAATAATTAAAACAAGCTAACCCAAAGTCTACCTTCTTTTTTTTTCTATCATAATCTATATCATTTATAGAATTTGACAATGAAAATGATATGTACGAGGGTTGTGAAAAACGCGAACTTTTTAAATATTTCATAAACTACCTGACCAAAATTATTCATTTTTGGCATAAAGTTGCAGGTTTTTTTTGTTGGTTAACCAAACGCTTCTTCCATCGGATAACCAGTTCATTCATATTTGAACCTCTTTTACTATGTACAAACCTGTGATAAATGAATAATTTGGAAATGTTCGCGTTTGGGGGGGGGGGGGGGGAACCCTCGTATACATCCGTCAACGTTCAATGACTGGGCTCTTAATGGCTTTGTTCATTTCTGAGACGAACTTTCTCTGACGTCCGCGCCCAAGAGAAATTAATTGGAGGTCATCATAATGATCACGATCTAGTCTAACTAAAATTTATTCCATGCTTTATTATTTATTATGTACAACATTGTGTTCCAAATAAGAAAACGATTAGGCGAATTTAATGTAGATTACAATGACTTTTAAGAAACACAACATGATGAATAAAACAAGTCATATACCATCACAAAGCATGAAAGAAACTTTCTATATTCCAGTGGCTGACTCTCAGCTTTTTTTTAAAAAGCTAACCTTGTTAACATTTATACTAGGTCCGATTTACTCAACCCCATTATAAACATCTGTTGAAATATTACGCTTTGATAGTCAATGGTTATCCATTTAACCCGGCAACGGATATATTTCATTGCTCAGGTGTATTTACAGTTAAATGCTAAATATTTATTGTCCGTAGTTTTATAGTCAGTCCTCAGAGTTTGTTTATTTTCCGTCAGTAAAACTAAAGGAGTGCATCGCGAAAGAAGTAAACCGCAATCGGAATTTGTTATTGGCGACACATTGTGCACCTGTCACAGGAAGCCCTAAGTCGGTTACATATATATAAACGACATCTCTCACCGGATGCATAATATCCCATAAGCCAATAGAACAAACTATAGACGTCGGGTGCAAGTTTTTTGGGGCTTATATGCTGCTTGTGAATATGGTGCGAAATATTTGAAAGATGATCATGAATTTATTTTTTTTTAATTTATTTATTTATTTATTTATTTATTTATTTATTTATTTTTTTTTTTTTTTTTTTTTTTTTTTTTTTTGCGATTTATTTGTCAAATGTAAAAAGCGGCCGATTGTAAAACTATCATTATAAAAGTCTTCTTTGAATATGGGGAAAAATGGCTATCTGTAGAATACGCTCAGAACGATTGACCAATCAGATTTAAAAGAAAAAAAAAAAGACAAGAACAAAAACTGATACGGGTTTCTAGAGTTTTTAAAGCGTTGGGTAGAATTTGTTTCACAGATTTCCAACATTTTTTTTTTAACCCTTGGTTCAAGTCGTGACACCCTCTTGGGCGTATTTGCCTACCGCCGATCTTTTTCTCACTTTTATCAATTTTTGCATTCTCTCTACCATTAATTCTTGTAACAATACCCATTTACCTTACTCGCTGTTCACAATTGTCCGTTCTTCATTATTTTTCTCTTCCCAGTTATCTGATTGGTTCAAACTAGATCACATGATCAAGTATAAACCTTGTTTATCTGACGACATGTTCCTTGGAATATCTGCTTTGTTTCTCCTTGTAATATATATTTATACTATACGATTCATTTTTTTTTTATAAAATTATCACCGAAATAGGGAGTGGGTATTTTTATAAATTGTCCATGTTTTTCGTAAGCACCCTCAAAATACGACGTATTTCCACTCCAGCCTAACGGCCAAAATGTTTTTATATGAGCGTTTGACATTCAATAATCACGTTTATTCACTCATATTATGTGAAACATTTGCAAATTTTTACCTCATTCTGTCTGTTCTATGAAATCTCCCCATAAATTCTACATACAATACGCAAACAAATAAGGAATTAAAATGACTCTGGAAGGACGTGGTGTCTGTTACCCCAAGTTTCACCATGGGAAAAACAGGCATAGACCTGTGAAATGTTTAGGTCGATACAATGACCTTGTCAGCAAATACAATTTATCATTGAGTCAAATGCTGACTGACGTTTTTCATACTAATTTTTAGGCCATTAATTACAAACTGAATTGTCGTCGGATTTTACCGTTATTTCCCGATCATGACTGCGGGTGTGATCGGTCGGCAGGGGATGCTCACTCCTCCATGGCACCTGATCCCACCTCTGATGTTTTAGAGGTCCGTGTTTGCTCTGCTCCTATTTTATATTCTTTAATGGACTTCTGAGCTTGAATACTGTTTGTTATCTTCATATAAAATGTGTCCAAATTACCTATTTCTAAATGCCACAACAGATTCACAGAGAGGATAATGCATTAAGATGTCTAAGTCGGTTTTGTCGAAAAGTGACTTTTCTCACGATTATATGCGGTAGAAATCGAACTCTGACAGGCGAATTAAGCGGAGACAGTTAAGTGAGGATCTTTCTGTTAACAAAATCAGCTGTTCATGAAATTGCAGAGTAATATAAACAAGACAGGTTTTATTCTTTATTTAATTCCAGGAAATCTCATCCAGAAAAGTGTACTGTGACAAAGATCTAGCAGAATTGTGAAGCAATGGCGTTGTAATAAAATCAACGATGGCAGTGCTGGATGACCATATAATGTCTTTTGTATTTGAAAATACGTGTAATTTAGCAAATTAACAATGTATCAAACTGAAATTTTCATGAATTCTTAAACGTTCATTGTTTTACGATCCTTATAAATTTCGTAAGCACACATAGCATTAATCTTATCGCACCAGTCCACACTCTTCGATAACCCCTCATTTAATCAAATTGTCCATGCAGGCTTCCAGGTATTTTGCTTTAAAGAAAATAGGTTATTGATAACTTTGATGTTTGTTAAAGGTACAAATCTTTATGGCGCCAAATACATGCATTTCGAGGAGTTGATGTGGTGAGTTAATTAAGAAGAAAAACACATGCAGACAGACCAAGTCCGTAGGAAGTAATTTCACTTTGAGGGAACACAACCATACATTTTCAGTTGGGGGGGGGGGCACTATGAATTACCAAAATTCCTTGACATGTAAAAAAAAAAAAAAAAGGTCATCAGACATTATTATTGAGGGAGCACAAACATATAGCAGCTATGTTTTCTATAGTATTCTATATATCGGCAAAATTATTGAGGGGGGCACAGCCCCCCCGTGCCCCCCCCCCCCCGATTCCTACGGCCATGCAGACAAACAAACAAACAAAATCATACAGTGTATATAGTTTGCTAATGAAATTACAAAACAATCTTGGCCAAACTTCAAATGGATATTGCTAACAGGTTGATTATCTACGCTTTGATGAGAAATACTGCATTTGGATTTTCGAATATGTCCGGCAAAAATAGTGGAAGAAAAACCTTCCAATAAATTATTTTAAATATGATCCATTCATCTGAAATATCCTAGGATTTAACCTAAGTAATTAGTATAAATTGTTTAAAGATCTTAAAAGGGGGAAGGGCACAACTTCCCAAAAAATCTGACAAGCAAAAAAAAAATTGACCAAAAAGTAGGGGGCCAACTTCTCAAAATAAACAGTCAAGCAAAAAAAAACTTAATTACCTGTCAAATTCCTGGAATTTTCTAGTGCTCGACCTTACAGCAACAAAAAGCGAGGGTGGCGGGGGAGTGCAACCATCATCTAATGAAAAAATTTATCATGGCAAAATACTATACTCAGAAAAAGTGGGGGGAGGCCGGGCCCCCTGCCCCCCCCCCCTCCCTCGCGTTCTACGGGCCTGCATACCCACGCATGTTTTATTTAACAGTTTATTAATGGACACTCGGACTTCAGTATTGGTGACGAAAAAAATGTCTACATAATTGCTTCAGAATAGTGATTTTTTTTTTTTTTTTTGGTTGTTGTTGAATTTTACTACCCCAGACACACTGAATAATATGAATTTTCTCTATTATTTCCGTCTTTAGAAAGCCACCTGCAACCACCCCAAACAGGTTATTAAACCAATTTATCAAAACCCAATGCAGTACCTCCAAGGTGGTCCACGCGCCTCAGTATTGGTTCTCCAACAGGTATAATACCGGCGCGTGGCACGCTCGTGTATGTATTTTTTGAGGAAGACATGAAGAACAGCTTCGGTTTCTTTCTTCTTCTGTTTGGAGCTTTCTATCATGATTGCCGATGTCGACCATTACAGAGTTGTGCCATTAAAGAGGTATCCGAGGTAAGGAGGTCTAATTAACAATTCTAGTAGCATGTTGGCATTACTTTCATATAAACATACAATTTTTAAAAACAGGGCAAAAGCCCATTATCCAAATTACTGTATAGATGTATTATAGCGTGTACGATATTTGGCCGAAAAGTATTTTTGAATAACTTTGCGTATATTTGATTTCGTGCATTTCTTCATATTCTTATTTATGCTTATATGTGCAAGACATTTAGCTTTGTACTTGATTTTGCGGTTGCTGCGTTCCGCCAAAGCCGCTAAAAAGAATACACAACCAAATGTAATACGTTTGCAGTATTCTCTGATTTGGTAACTTGAAAACCTCGCTTAATCAAAATCATGCAACCCTTAAAGAACAAACAGAACTGGATTTTTATAAAATACTACACTGCGACAATCCTTATTTTCTGCCTTTGGTTTGCTTTTAGCGTCAAAATAGATGTAATAGTGCCAGTTATCTACTTTTTTTAGAACACTAGCATCAATGTGCACGTGTCTTGTAAGGAAGAAACAATTCCAGATAAAAGTGAGTCAAATTCTAGTGCATAGAAAAATTATTTTGCTTCATTATGTATATTTATGTAAATGTCAAAATGTTGATAACGATGGCAGTCACACATTGCAAATATGACATTTTTTTTCAGTTTGATGTGAACAATTACCAGTATATTACATGCTTTTTTTCATAAAAAAAAATTAAAATGAAAAAAAAGAGATGTGAGATGAGAAATATGCAGACTTGATGCTAACGGTACCCTTAAAATAACAACAAATTTGTTTTTGTTTTCTGTAACCAGTATGTCACAAAGACATCATTTCCGGGCTGTGTGTCGCACCACCGGACTGTGCTTTGCGGAATGTCCAAGTGAAGCGTCTCGGCAACAGTTTACGAGAAGTCTCTTGGACTGTTACCCGTAAGTTCTAAAACTCGTTAGTAGGGATCACTGTAAAATTTAAATCTCAAGCATTGCTAAAGATTTGAAGTCGGGGGGGGGGGGGGGGGTCTAAAAAGCACACGAGAAGAGGTATTAAGGATAATTATTCATTTAGACATTGAACCTGTTACCTGTAATTTAAAAAAAAGAATAGTTGTATTTTATTTGTTTATGCAGATTTTCTTATGTCAATATTTCTGAGATCAGTATAGAGGAAAATCTTGATAAAAGTGATATGATTCATAATACCAGTATTGCGTACATTTCGACAGAGAATACAAAGATCTGTTTTTTCCTTCTTAGCAAAATATGTAGCGGTTCTGTTAATTATAAAAGGATGTTTTGAAGGAAAAAATGGAATTGCATCCGGCAAATTACAGTATGGCGACGTCGACAATTCTAGTAAAAATATTCGATCATAAGAGTGGGCATAAGAGTGGGTAGAGGTCTGTGTACAGGATACAAGATATTTTATTTACAAATCAAGGGCCCCGAGAGGCATTTCAACATATATAAAAGCACAATTTAAAAATATTTCACAATACAGTACATGCATAAATTCCGGAATACATGTAGAGATAGAATTGAAAACGGGTTTCACACTACAATCAAGTTTGCTCTTTCAGCAGGTTACGCGTATTCGTCGAGTGTTTCAGTTTGTTTGCTTTATGTCTCTGTCACTTTGAGAATTTTTCACTCGTGGGACGCCACCGGTGGAAGACTGCAGATTTAGCCTTGTATTTGACACTTATGACCATTGAGTAGTAAGGTATCTTTTTATACTGCGACGTAGTGCAGGACCTCGTTTTAAAACGGCTTTATCTGAAGGATGATCTCCACGTCCAACAGTGGGATTCAAATCTGCAACGCATCGATCAACTCCTCTCTCCGAGACTCGAGAACGAGACACTCTAACCACGGCGTTACTCGGTTTATTGTGTAGTCAAAAGGTGAAAGAGCTATCTAACTTGGGTAAATTTCTTTGCAAAGCCACAGCTCTACGAAAATCCAATTTGTAAATACACTGTATTATTTGATATCTGTATCCTTGTTTTTTATATTGTGCAATTGGGAAATGTCATTATTTGTATGCTTTATATTCTTTATAAAATCTGAAGAGCCTTTGGCTTAACGAATAAAATAAACTGAAACTGAAACGGTTGACGAGGTCTTTTGGTAATAACCATGGAATCTTTGTCTACCAACCTGCTAGGGTTATGTATGCTTTCTCAAAATGTCTTGTACTCGAAATGATTAGAATTTTTAACATACATTAACAACATTTTCGATTCAAATCACCGTCTCAAAAATTTGCAGAATTGAAGATCATACATGTATATCACTTTAAAAACTTAATTCTTTTTTTTTTTGTTTTTTTTTTATGATCTACGCCAAAGAGAATTGAAGCTATCTGCTAACTTGTTAAAATTATTGAAAGTTTGAGCTGCAGGAATGTAAATAAAATCGGATGTGATTTTCAGACTAGAAAGTCTTTGGTAGCCAATACCAATTCTTTCCAGACCAGTGACCCTTAGAAATAGCTGTAAATCTGTAGCTAATTGATCTGAAAAATCGGGATAGGCGACATGTAGAGAGAGCTGGAAAATGTATGGACGACTAGCGAGTCTCTTTACACTCACCACATTTTTCCAGACCATTGAACCGCAGATCTGAAGCTAGGGAGCATCCTCAGTGGCATCATGTGTAGGAACTAGTCTGAGCTACCTCAAAACAGTCGACCTATTATATCTCATTCTGAAAATGTAGGTCGTGGCATACATTAACTGACAGCACATCTGCAGGTTTTAAATACATTTTTTCCCAATATGGAATCAAATTCTAGAAATCCAGACAGCAGATGGACTCTAATGGAAAGGTTACTTAAGAATCCAACTATGGAACGCCAAATTAACATAAATTCAAATATTTGTACCTATCTTCAAATAATTGTACCTATCTTCAAATAATTGTACCTATCTTCAAATGAATTGAAGATAAGTGCAATTGAATTAAAGATAGGTACAAATGAATTGAAGATAGGTGTAAATAATTATACCTATCTCTAAATAATTATACCTAGATACAAATAAATTATACCTATCTTTAATGGAATTACACCTGTCTTCAATTCAGTTAAATATAGGTTCAATTGAATTATACCTATCTCTAATTCATTTGAAGATAGGTATAATTGATTTAAAGATAGGTACAATTGATTTGAAGATAGGTACAATTAGAACATATCCACAAAGGATTTGAAGATAAGTACAATTCAATTATACCTATGTTCAATTCGTTTTGTGTTATTGAAAATAATGAACGCTCCCTAGGAGACAATATTGAACATGGAGGGAAACGCACAGAGCATGCAGAGCGACGACAACGAGGATGAAAGGAGAAATAAAGATATGTTAAAATGTGCAAAAAGCATTATATACTTATTAAAATACACCTGTATGTCAATAAGTGAGCGAAAAAATATATATACTCGAGTACCCCGAAAGTGTCGGAGATCGGTAGACGTAACGGAAATGACGTATAATGAAGGGAGTAGTTATTATTGCCAATATCTTAGTAATTAAAGATAGGTTCAATTCAATTGTACCTATCTTTAAATCAATTATACCTGTCTTCAATTCATTGCATTTGTACCTATCTTCAAATCAATTGTACCTATCTTCAAATGAATTAAAGATAGGTATAATTGAACTATACCTATCTCTAATTCATTTGAAGATAGGTACAATTGATTTAAAGATAGGTACAATTCATTTGAAGATAGGTACAATTCATTTGAAGATAGGTACAATTATTTAAAGATAGGTACAAATATTTGAATATATGTTAATTTGGCGTTCCATTTCCAAGCCTTCAGCCCTGAATAAGAAAAGGAAATGTTCTAAGCTAACGTAGCAGGAGTGAGAACAGAGCCCAGGAGCGGGATTCATAAACACTCTTAGATTTTCTTAAAAGTTGTACTTAAGTACTAAAAAAATTCTTAGTTAAGAAAAAAAATCTTAAGTCATATTCATATAAATTCTAAAAACAATTCTTAGCTAAGTTCAATTCTGAGAAAATTAGAGCACTTAAGTTAAGTCACCCTAGCAATGCATGAGAATTCCCGAACAAAAAGCGAACTCTTTTGTGATAGAGGTATTTAGTTCCATGTATATTACATCACAAGTGAAATGTACTATGTCATCAACATTGCACAATATTACATCTTACCAGTTGATAATTATCTCAAAAACAAAAAGAGTTTCTAGTTGGATGTAATAGCATGGTTTCTTAATGAAATATTAAGATTTTTTCTGTGCTCCATTATTTTCATTTTGTAAAGAAAACTTCAGTATTTCTTATCTACTTAAGACACTTCCTGAAGACACTTAACTTTAAGTTAATACTTAAGCAGTAAGTATGTTTATGAATTACACCTAAGTTTTTCTAACAAATTTAAGTAATACTTAGGGAACTTAAGTATGAAATATATAACTTAAATGATATTTTAAACTTAAGAATATACTGAGAAGTTTTATGAATCCCGGCCCAGGTATCAAAGTTTGGGGAGGTCAACATTACCGCTACATTGCGAAAAATTTCAACTCATTACCGATACATTTCTTCGAAATTTCGGGTGATCATTACCGCTACATTTTATCAATAAGACTATTGCCGATTACAACTCATTACCGCTACATATCGAATCAGCCAGCAATGACGCGGCATATAAGTTCCATTCATTATAATTCATATAAGAGATTTCCAGACAGCAGTACGTCAAGTAAATGGCCTTCAAAGCTCTACCAATTATGTTAAGACTGTGTGTTTCATCCATGAACAATGTTCGGCTTTAACACTTTCTAAAATGTTTTATTAAATAAAATAGATTGAAAACAACCAAAAAAAAAACAACATTCTGCTCAAAGTTCTTACTTTCACCTCCCCATGGTGAGCAGGGGAACACATGTCTTATGGGTGTACATGTACTTTAAATCAATCTGTGCATGCATAAGCCACTGGCTAACGAAAGAGGTAATGTAGCGGTAATGTATACTTTTAATAAACGTAGCGGTAATGTAACCTTTTTTGTAGCGGTAATGAGTATGTGGCGGTAATGACAATTTTGAAAATGTAGCGGTAATGGTACGCACCCAAAGTTTTGTCAAGTATGGAGATCAATTGTTGTTAAATGACCTACTGTTTGTATCTGTTCAGTATCTAAGACTTATTCTTTGAGCAGTTCGCACTACCCACCCACGTTTAATTTTTTTGTAAATGTACTAAATATATATTCAACATTTCCATAATCGCCAGACAACAGCACAGAGACGGGTGGATATTTGGTGGAGTACCCCGCGGACATTGCTTGGTCGGACACGGTTTGCAAGAGTGTTATCGTCAACTCAAACACTAATTTTCATGTAAGGGGAAAAAACACTTTAATTCTTACGATATTAATATCAAGTTTGATAACATTTCCACTATAATCATCTCTTTGGTAAATTTAAGGGGACGTTTTCGACGTCGTTCAGGATATCCAATAACCTTACCCCCACAGTAAAGCCGTTGTGGAAAATGCTGAATAAAAAGGGTAAAATTACAGATCAAAGAATTTATTTTCTTATGTTTCGATGCACGGAAGTTCTTGATCTTGTAAAACAAGATTTTGTTTATTTTTTTCAGACAATTTGCGTGGAACCAATATTCAGAACCCAAATGCAACTTTTTTGAAAATATCGTTCGAGGTCTGGACATCCACGAGTCATAAATACAATATAGAGCTCTGGGGCAGTAATAACAAGTTCTTTCAAAGCAAAACAGTTGGGAAGGTAACATCTAAAGGCTCGAGTTTCTTCAACCAAGTTTAAACATTTGAGTCCCTATACGATATCCTAGAATTTGCCGAGGATGAAAAATGTTTTTGAAACAAATTTTCTTATTTGTTTTAGAATTATGCAGTTTTCAGCCATATCATACCGGGATTATACTACGCAAAGGTTAAAATTTAAGATTGCTCTCTCTCTCTCTCTCTCTCTCTCTCATTTACCAATGTATTCCCAAAATCGAGAGTCCATATTTATTATTTCAGATAAGAATTCTTGATGAAAGTTGTAATTGTGACTGCTTTAATTCCAAACATTGCAGCCGATACCCGGATTGGACGACAAGTATCTTCCTGCACCCTTCATCACCAGCTGAACAAGGTAATAATTCTATCTCAAATCAACCTGTCATTGTTAGTCTAACATTTATTATTTTGACATAGCAAATACTTTCGAGCATGCAGTATCCATACGTAAGAAATTAATCATTGAAATACCGACAGGTAACACGGAAATGGGGGATATGCGACCTTGGGGAATCATTATAAATTCTTGAGTCAATAGTAAGATAAGATGATTATTTCCTTATAAATATTATTGGCGGATATTTAACTCCCCAAAAAACGTCAAAATGATAGGCAATTAAAGCTACTTATAGTTGTTGTCAACCCAGGACTAGAAATTTGATGATTGATGATCAACAAACAAAAATGATGAAATAATGATACTTAATAATGTGTAACATACTTCTGTTGATGAAAATTATTACGACTAATTGCGTTCCATTTCTATCTATTTATTACTGTTTCCTTTCCTTCGTTAACAGTTTGGTTTTATCACTAAAGCATGCCAGTCTCCTTTACAATAAATGACTGGGGTCAGAGTTGTGGTCAGATAAAAGAAATTCAAAACAAACTTATGATTCCCCCCAAATGTCTGCTTTTTCTTTTTTATATGTGTTTTTTTTCACAATTGCACATATAATCACTAAGGCTTATTCACTTTCAGAACCAAAGAAGGACCATTACTTACTTGTGATTTTGGTTTTGGTTGTTATTTTCACGCTAATTTTGGCCATTTTAGGGATTGCATTGCTGGTTGCTTGTCAGAAAACTATGTCAGGTAAATAGAAATTTAACATTTCCATTGGATAGATACTGTGAAAGATATGATAGCATATTGCCTAAGTCTAAAATTTTGGAGAATTGGAAGGGAATTCACAATGTACTTGGTGATATTTTTTAGGTTTCTCTTTGTGGTGGGTAAAAGATTGATGCTTGAAACAAGAATATTTTCTTTTGTAGAGAAACAGTGGAACAAGAACTATGATTCAAACTACAAAAACGTCCTTTTGTATGCTGCAAAAGAAAATAAATATCACGTAAATGCAGTGATCAATTTACAAAATTATATCTCAAATGTTTTTAAACGTCATGTAAACTATACATTTATAAATCGTCAAGATATGAATTGTCAACAGAAGTTTTCCTTCCCAGGGGGGACTTTGAATGTTATAATTTTATCTAAATCACTCACGTGGTGTCTTCAATACATTAAAAACTTGCCGCTCAAGCAACGTAGGAAACTTATTTTCGTGACAATGGCGGTGGATTGCGACAAAAATTTTACTTACCCAGCCAATATTACCATTTTTCATCTCCACAAAGACATTGGAACGTTTCACAGTTTTCTTTCCAATCTCTTCCTGCAAAATCAAACCAAGCAAGATTTTACGATTGCTGAAAACAGACGACGTTTAAAGGCTGCTTTGACGGACCTAAACAAATTTCTTCGAAACAATAGTCACACTTCTGGGACGTTCCAGACAAAAGCATTGTTGACAAAGAGACCAGACAGCTCATTTGACAGCATCTCAAAGATCTTGACAATATACAGGAAAAGGAAGACCTTCTGCAACAAGAGAATGTTTGGTTTCCAAATGACTTCAAACGGATCAGAACACATCGTCTTACCGGGCGAATTTACGTTCACAGACGACGTCGACACGGCATCCACACAGGAAGAACTACGTTCTTGTTTGGACTTGAAGGAAGACAGAAGTGAAGAGAAAAAGCACAAAATAGATTTAAAGGAGGGAATGGCTCCGATGTATCTGACTAACACTATGGACGAACACAGATCTCCTCTTCTTTCTGGCTGGGAACAGAGATCCGGGGATATTGAGGCCATCAGTCTTGGTGGTAAAAGTGTTTAGAGTGGAAAGAAAGTCTGCAAGAGACGAGTTATCTTTATCAAGAAACGTGACACTTTTTTGCACCAATCTATACATTTTATAATTATTCGTTGTTCTTGTAATTTGCAAATTTATTTTTAAAAAAGTATCTTATCTCCATCCCTTTGCAACAAAATTGCAATTGTATATAGTACTATGTATATACATGTACATATTGTAACTGGTCCGTAAACAAATTCCTGCATCTTTACAAATGTTTTGGACATAATTTAATGAGTGTCTTTTAACCTTTCATTCTTATACTTGCTACAGAGGTTTTGGACATGAGGAAGTTGGGATTAATATAGGTTCATGATCAGAAACATTGGTAGCTTTAACAAAACAGCTAAACTGCGAACACCATCTATTTCACAAATTTCATGTAGTCTCATACTGTTTGAGATGTTAGGTGGCTGTCACCAGATGCTTGATAAGAGGGTTTACAGAGGGGATTTCCCCACTAATGGCCAACTTAATAATTTCGGGGACTTGCTTTGAAGCAAAGGATAATAAGGAGATTAAAGAGGTGGGATCAGGTGCCATGGAGGAGTAAGCATCTCCTGTCGACCGGTCACACCCGTCATATGCTCCTTGCCATGATCGGGCAAATGGTAAAATCCTATAGACAATTCAGAGTGACCTAACAATTTCTATGAAAACAGTCGGTCATCATTCGACTTAACGATAGATTGTATTTGCTAAAAAGGGCGTTGTCACAGCCATAGAATTTGGGAAATGTTGATTTTAAACGGTGCTGTTGATATCTTTGTATTTGTCAATAGCTTGCCTCGATTAAGAAAAGTTTGCACGTAGAGCATGCTCTATTGTGTCGAATCAATTGGGAGACATTAACATCATATGCAGGTGATAACGGTATATTAATACATAAATAAGGGAAATTGAATATAGAAAAGTTGAAGTTATAACGTTTATCATGAAGTTTTGTTGTTAGGTTACCATTATTTGTCATTAATGTCTATTTCTAGTAAATCATTTAAATATGAAACAGATGTGTCAGACTCTGTGGTATCTTTTATTTCGAAATCAAAGGGATATATTGAATCAGAATGAAAATGAATACCCATAAGTCGTCGATATATCTACATTTCAAACTGAAGGCCACAGTTTTTCGTGGAGAAGTTTTTGAATAAGTGTCTTCATATGAATAAAAAAATAAGTCTGCTAATAACGGGTCGCAATTAGTACACATAGAAATCCCAACAGAAAGAGAGATTACACGTTAATAGGTGTCCAGCGAATCACTCAGGTGACCTATTGCTATTTGTATTCGTACGTCGTCGTGGTCATGCGTTAAAAATTGAACATTTTCGGATTCTTCTCTGGAACCACTGACCCAATTTCAACCAATTTTGGCATATATCACTTATAGGTGAAGGGGAACAAAACTTGTAAATTCTATGGTCCCTGATCCCCTGGGATCTGAGGGAAGGGGCTAAAACCTTCATAAATAAATATTCCTCTTTACTCCTGGACATCAAGCAGTAAGACTTTTGACATGATTGTAATAAGCATTGAGCTCTCTACCAAAATTGTGAAAGTCACGAGTTTTGGTGTTAAGGTGGGGCTCTTTAGATCATATGGTAAAAATGCATAAATTCTTCAAAAATCTTCTTCTCTCCTTCTGTATATTTAGCAGACAAACTAAGTGCATAAATATGATAAGCAAGATCGAGTGCCTCTCGCAATGTAAAATTCATAGCCCCTGTATCAGAGGTTCTGGTGTTATGGGCGGAGCCTTTTGACCATATAGTGAAAATGCGTTCTTTGAAAATCTTCTTCTCTGCATCTACTTATTTAGAATACAATTTGAACTAAGTGCATGATTATGATGAGCAAGAGTGCTTCTTACGAAATTGTAAAATTTATACCCCTGGTCAGTTATTCTGGAGCTAGGGTGGGGCGCTCTATTGATGATAGAGGGATATGCTTTATTCTTTGAAAGTCTTTTCTGCTCTTGGATATTTAGCAGACAAACTAAGTGCATGGTTATAATGAGTATGAGTGCCCCTTCCAAAATAGTAAAATTAATGACCCCTGGGTCAGAGGTTCTGGTGTCAAATTATTATGATTATTACCGGGGAAAATAAGTGTAAAAACTTTCCGGCAACAATGAAACATAAAAATGCTAACGATGGAAAAGCACTTTATTATAACTTAGGTCGGTAGGGCGAATTCTGGCAATCCAAAAATTGCACCCGAACAATCCGAAGCCTAGGACTTGACTGATTAACAATGATGCATGTAACATATAAATAATAAAGTATAACAATGACAATTTATTTAGCACAATTCTGAGCATGAGTGACAGATGGCTTAGATAGAATAACTCATGACATGTTGAGTACATTGATTAAATTGAGTTACATAGTAATTAGCATAATTAAAGTTTTTCGTGATGTTTAAAGTAATAACAGATAATTAAACGTATATTTCAAAGTCAGCTAAAACATGTCACTAAATTGTTTTTATCAAAAATCACACCGTGATATGATCATGTATGGGAATAATTACGCTGCTCTAAATAAGAAAAGTTATTTCCCTTTATTATTCACTTATACACATACATGCAGTTTTTCAAAGTAAATATTGTAATTGATATGTATAATGAATAAAAGAATTAAACAAGACTTCTTCATGTATGATATAAAAAAAAAGTGCTTTCATGGTTTTTTTTTTATAGACAGGTAGATTTGTGAATAATAGATTAATAATATCTTATATATGTACATTAAATATTATTCAAAGACAAAGAGAGGCCAGTGTGGGACAGGGACTGTGTTGGGTATACACTGCAAACATTGTGTTATATACTTGAGCACCATTTTAATGATTGATGATTAGTGGATTAGTGATAGAGTGTAGATAGCACTGGAAAATACAGGCAAGCTGATGTACTTTGGTTATCCCTCAGCAATCCTTTTCTTTGAATTTATTGTGTTTAATATATAACTATTCACCATTCTTTGGATCCTTTACAGGGTTTTATGATACTCATGTGACTGTTAAGGCCCCTAGGCCATTTGTATTAAAATGTCCTAGTCTGCAGAATGCAAGACAGTCGTACTTGGTTAAACAAGCTTCCTATCTTAGTGAGAAAATTGTAAGTCAGGAGTCAAACTATCATCTATTCCTCTCAGACCATATTTATAAGAAACAACTCCAGAAAAAGATCCAAAGATTTATAAAGAACCTGGCCCACGACATGGCATTTACTGTACACTGCCATAAGAACAAGTTCAATTCGAAACTGCAGACAATCTACGACATGGCTGTAGGAACGGGGAGGGGGCACGGAGGTGCCATGCCCCCCCCCCCCCATAATTTTGCCGACATATAGAATACTATAGAAAATATAGCTACTGTATGCTTGTGCCCCCTCAATAATAACGTCTGATGACCTTTTTGGGGGGCTTGTCAAGGAATTTTGGTATTTGATAGTGCCCCCCCCCCACTGAAAATGTATGGTTGTGCCCCCTCAAAGTGAAATTGCTTCCTACGGGCCTGTACGCCTAAAGTTCTTAATAAGAAATTAAATCTTAGGTATATCCGTATAAATATTTTAATTTTTTATATATTAATGTCAATGTAAAAGCTGTATAAAGAACTGCGAACGATAGTATTGTTCTGCCGCCTACCTCCAAGTCAAATTTCAAAAGTTTACATAGTTGAATGATTTTTCATGTTTATATAGATATTTATGTGAATTTTCATAAAACATAACTTATTTGGGAAACTAAGAGAGATAACTCTAATTATGGTAAAAATTGCGTTTTTCACTATAGAAATACAACGGAAAATGAAAATTATTTTTAAAACATCCCCCTCCCCGTGAAACAAAAATTCCTTTTTATGGGTTTTATGAATTATTTGTCAAATGCATGCCAAAGCTTTTGTTGTTTCACAAGGGGGGGGGGGATATGTTTACAGACAAAAAGTGCAAAAATGGTCATTTTATTATCAATTTCAAACGAGATTACAAATAAAATAATTTCTTTCATCAATCTTTTATGTTGAATTTTACACAAGTTAAACGGAAAGTTTTAAGGGTCATGATTCCATTTCCAAACGTTTTTGAAAATCTAGCAATTTTTAAAGCCTGATTTTAAAGAATAAAAAGTTCAACCCCCTATTGATAACAGTCGTAAATACGTGCAATTAAGTGTTTGACACTGGTTTTAAATTTATTAATCATTTAATAATGAACTCTTCTTGAATTCAGTCAAGTTTTAATGACCAAACGGCCATTTATATTGAATTAAATGAGGTAAAACGTAGGCGATAATTGAGAGTTAGCGTGCGTGGTTCTTTTAAAGGCTTTGTTTGTCTGTCATTTGTTAATTTTATTTTTATTGCACAATTAGATTAGGCTTTACTAACTTTTTCAACACTACTCTTTTTATTTATAATTTTTACCCCCTTTTTAAATTATACCACCTTCTCTGGTGTTCCTTATACATACAGGGCTCTAACTGGTGACTAATTTAATCGCCATGGTGCCAAAAAATTATGATTGGCGCCTGAAATTCAAATGTGTGCAAAACGGGAACAAACCTAAATTTTTTCTGTAAGTCGCCAAATTGGCGACCATTTGAAACTTACTTCGTGTTCGTCAAATTACTGAACTATAAACATTTTCATTTTTTTTATATAAAGAGCAGAAAAGAAGTTTAAAAGTTAGGAATGAACATATCTCTATATATTGACTAATATCAGTTTTTAAATTGGTGCCATTTACCTGGCGACTAAAAATTTGCATTGGCGAATAATTCTTTTTTTTTTTATTAGGAGCCAGTTGGCGCCTAAAATTTTAGAAGTCACTTAGAGGCCTGCATGTGAGGCATATATCCATCACTGAACTGATGGCCAGAAGAAGAAACCTATTAATTTTAGGTTCAAAAGTTTATAGATCATGATCAAAAAGATTAATAGGTGTTAACCAATTTCAAAAAGTACCAGAGACCTTTCAGTCATGCTAGAGAGTATATGCAGAACTGTAGCTGTCTGGTTGAGAAAATTTGAACAGATGATCAGATTTATCTGTCCGAATTTAATTTTCTCACCAGAGAGCTACAGTTCTGCAGCTAGCTAGAGAGATGTGTGGGGACAGAGGAGGTTGATAAATAATAGGACCAAAAAAGTCAAAGCTCCTAGTAAATGCAGTGTCACTAGTTTGAACAAATTTTAAAAACTATTTGAGGACCATGTCTTGCATATTAATTAAAAATGCTTTAAGGCAAGAGCAAATGACAATCATTATGATTTCAAGGACTACTACAGGTATAAATATTTGTGACAATTTTTACAATACCAGTTATTTCATTATTTGGGAAATTGAGCTCTAAAAAATAAAATCATGTTTTGAGGGATTGTTGGCATTGTGGTGCCCTTATTCATTTTACATGTAGAATACACAAGATTGGTTGACATTGTCATTAGACAAGTAATAAACAAATAATGAAAAAAAAAGTAACACTGTTTAATGCTTTTATCATACTTAAACAAAAATAAAACAAAATACATATGTATAAAACAGGAATCTCATAAATATTACAACTATTTACAATGCATTTGTTAAAGTGGACATGGATTTCAGTTCATTCTTTGTTAAGATGTATGTGTGTGAGAAATAATTAACCAACTGATCACAAAATAAAACAGAAATATAGGATATATAGCAAGGGCTTTTCGATGTGCCGGTTGGCTGTCTGCAAGAAAAGCTGTTGATGCTGAAATCACAAATAAAAGAGATAATTTAGGCATCAAACAAGTACACCAATAAGAGTTTAACACATAATTTTAAATTTCAATTTTCATTCTAAAGTCACAGTAATTTTTTTTTTTTAGAAAATGCTTAAAATTTGAATAAAATGTTTTTTAAAATACTGAATTATAGTGGACCTACCAAATGTTGACCATGCAAATGCTGCTACAACAACCACAAATCTGACGATGAATAAGACTGTAGATTGTGAGGCCAGGAGGATAATTCTACACACAATGAGAGCAACAGTCAGCGGACACACGCAGTAACCAAGCACACAGATACTCTGGAAAAATGAGCTGCAAAACACAAATGTTCACACACTCAAGGACAGATTCTTCTCATATTCATCAGCTTTAAAAATTAATGCTGTTGCCGGCAATCATGTGATGCCTACTTTAAAAAAAAAAAATAATGAATGTTCTACCAGATAATACTATGTAATTGATATATATTTTATGTAAAATAGATTTTGGTTAACCAGTATTTCCTCTAATAGTCTTAAAATTTTAAGGAAAATCATTTTTCAATGCTTTATATATATATATATATAAAGCATTGAAAAATATTACAAATCCTAACAAGATTTAAGTTCATTTGAAAATTTTATATCTTGAACACTGATACCTCAAATACCATGGCTAATTTGAAGTGATTTGGAAGTCCCAACCACTTATTCTTTAAGTATTTTACCCCCCCCCCCCTCCCCAAAATCTTGGATATCTCAAATTTTTTTCTTAGTCCTATTGAGTTTGAGATAACAGGGTTTGACTGTATTTAAAATATTCTAAAATCAAAGTCCCTTATTATAAATTTCATTTACTTTAAAAAAATTCTTTAAGCTTTGGATTAATTGGTTAAAAAATTGAAATAAAATCATTTTGTTGTAGATTTGAAAAGCAGAGAATGTAATATTTTCTTATGCATTTCTTCCCCTCAAAATATAGTCCCTGCTAGTCTACCATTCCTATATCAAGCAGTACATTTGTGAGAAAGAAAGAAAATGTTCTCAGTATAAAAGACATTCAAGCAGATATATTTTGAATATTTTAATTAGTCTAAAAACAAACAAGAATCCCTCCTTAATATACTGTAAATGTATTATATTTAGGATGTACAATGTTTAGCGAAAATTGATTTTACACCAAGTTAGTGTAGATTTGAATTAAGGCTTTCTGAATGTGCTAAATATCCACACAAGACATTTAGCGATGTATTTGATTTAGCGGAAACAGCTCTCCGCCAAAGGCGCTAAATAGAATACACAGTCAAATTTAATATATTTACAGTATGTTTTATTATTTTTATTAAAAGATATTTTCTTTTTATTGATTAATGTTTGTATGTTATTTTTTCCCAAGTAAAGAAGTTTACATTTCCAATGTCTTTGTCCGAGATAAAATTACAAATTGTAAAAATACTTTATTTCTACATAAATCTACTGGTTCATCGATAGGCACGGTTAAAAAAAATCACGTGCGGGGCGGGACAAATAGAGACAGAAGCAGGGCTATTAACACGGGAATTTGCAGAATCAGGAGCATGTAAATATAAGGAATAACTGTCAGATTTTTTTGGATTCATGACGATGATCAATCGATTGGCTTGCGTGATAATTTTATGCATAAACGCCTTTGGCGTTTATGCAAATTATCACGCAAGCCACTCGATTGATCACATCATGAATCCAAAAAATAAGACAGTTACTCCTTAAATATCATCTAAACTCATTTATAACCTGGACATGGTAGCATCTTCTAACATTAACAATTAAAAAAAAATCAAAAACCCTACAAATAAAACAAGAGGCCCATGGGCCACATCGCTCACCTGTGTAACTTTGGCCATGCTGTTCATTACCAGACTTCCCCCCTTGTAATACCTATTGTGGCCCCGCCCTACCCCCGGGGTCATGATTTGAACAATTTAGAATCTACACTACCCCAGGATGCTTCCACATAAGTTTCAGCTTTTCTGGCCCAGTGGTTCTTGAGAAGAAGATTTTTAAAGATTTTTCCTATATATTTCAATGTAAAACTTGTATTCCCTATTGTGGCCCCGCCCTACCCCCGGGGGTCATGATTTGAACAATTTAGAATCTACACTACCCCAGGATGCTTCCACGTAAGTTTCAGCTTTTCTGGCTCAGTGGTTCTTGAGAAGAAGATTTTTCCTATATATTTCAATGTAAAACTTGTATTCCCTATTGTGGCCCCGCCCTACCCCCGGGGGTCATGATTTGAACAATTTAGAATCTACACTACCCCAGGATGCTTCCACATGTTTCAGCTTTTCTGGCTCAGTGGTTCTTGAGAAGAAGATTTTAAAGATTTTTCCTATATATTTCAATGTAAAACTTGTATTCCCTATTGTGGCCCCGCCCTACCCCCGGGGGTCATGATTTGAACAATTTAGAATCTACACTACCCCAGGATGCTTCCACATAAGTTTCAGCTTTTCTGGCTCAGTGGTTCTTGAGAAGAAGATTTTTTAATGACCCCACCCTATTTTTGTATTTTCTTGATTATCTCCCCTTGTAAGGGGACTTGGCCCTTTATTTTAACAATTTAAACTCCCCTTCACCCAAGGATACTTTGTACCAAGTTTGGTTAAAATTGGCCCAGTGGTTCTTGAGAAGAAGTTGAAAATGTGAAAAGTTTACAGACGGACGGACAGACGGATGGACGACGGACAACGGGTGATCAGAAAAGTTCACTTGAGCTTTCAGCTCAGGTGAGCTAAAAACTTGATCTTTGGGAGAAATATATATATAACAATGGTCACTTGATATTTCAGTGTTTTACGTTTACAAAAATTACACAAACATATTGCAGTTTCAAGTTTGTTCAAATCATGGCCCCCAGGAGGAGGGTGGGGCCACAACAGGAGATCAATATTTCATAAGGAAATTAATGAGGATTTTGGTCAAAAAAATTATACTGAAAAATATCTAAGCCACACTAAATCACACTCACTGTTTGGAATCAATTAATTCAAAAAATGGATCCAAAAATCAGGGAGCAATTTTAACCTAATGCATGTTTAATTCCTCTGCAGAACAGCAAGACCATGTTAGTCCTAGTGATACTGAAGCATCCCTAGGATGTGTTGATTCAAGTTAGGTTAGGTTATGACCCTTAAGGCTAGGTGGGGCCACAGTATTGGGTAAGCATTTTTTATGTGAATAATGCTGGTTAATATTTCTTTTAATCTTGTGATGAAGAACAGGAGGGACAATGTCTCTCAGGTAAGCATTGTAGCCCATGGGCCTCTTGTTTTTGAAGGAGAAGGTATTGTCAGAAAACAGTTTGAGGAACAGACACAGATAAACATCACTGCTTTCACCAAGGAATGGGGAAAAGTTTATTCTTGAAACCCTTGAGAGGTGGTATTTTAATAACATTTATCATCATTCATTTCATGTAAAGGTTGCAAATTGATTGTTTATGGTTACATAAACGATATATATCATCTATTTCATCTCAATAAATATTGTCTAAAATTGTTAATTACATAAAAAAAAAGCAAAGAAATATATATTCTACACTTGGATACGTTACTTTTTTGGGGTGGGGTGGTGGTGGGGGACTCACATGTTTCCTCCTAGTAATTTTGTATTGAGAGTAACAACCACTGCTCCAACCCAGAAGATGACAAAAACTTCAGCAAACTGAGGCCCTCCATCACCCTCCTTGTCTTTACTGATTTTACTGCTGTCAGAGGAAGACCCTTGTAACATTCTGAAATACAACAGTCACACAGTGCTTTAGGGGGCATTTAAAACAGGACCTTAAAATGAGGGGTAATTTCAAACTTTTTGAACAGAGGTGAAGAAGACATACATACAAAGATAATTCTCCTTTATACTCACATTGCCATAAACACACATAAAATTAATGGACCCCACAAATCCCCTGAAATAGATAAAATGACATGATTTTCTAAACCCAATCTGTATTTAGAAACATACGACTATAAAGCTAAAGCATGAAAGTCAGTACTAACATTAAATAACATTCAGATTCAAAATGTGTCATTTTGGTTATGTTTTTATGATTATGTTTAACCTTTAAATATACCTATTTTAAAAATTTCAGAAAAATATCAACATTTTCAGTTGTTACTGGTACTCACATTCTTTAAGCAATGTTTTACTTTGCTTGGGATACAGTACATGCCAAAATTTGATTCCAATTGCTTTAAGATCCCTCATCTATGAAAAAAAAAATATAAAAAACATTTCATTGAATGACAAAAACATCTTTCTGAAAACAATTAGTATATAAATTTAAATCACTGTTAATGTTGCTGTATGATTAAATTCAATCTGTTAGTGAAGTTAATGTAAAACCCAGGTCCTATAGTTTCTCTGTCTGATTCAAATGATATTTATATTTCATACCTTTTCTCGCTGTTTCAGACACTATAGATGTATATATAACAATACATTGATATAACGATGTATTGTGATGCAGTGTGTGTTGATCTGATACATCAATATATGAAATGAAGCATATATATATATTTTTTTTATACTTTCTGAAAGTATATAATGTGCTGCAGTGCATGTTTTGCATAAACAATTTAACAGAATTCATTAAAAATCCGAAAAGAAGAATAAAAGTTCTTTGCTAGCAAAAAGAGAAAAAGTTAAATCTGAGCTTAGCTTTATTCTTGGTTTTAAAAAGTACAAAAGGTTGAAATAACTGCTAGTACATTTTTCTTCCTTTAAGTAAAATTTAAAAAAAAAAAAAAAAAAGAGAAACTAGAAAATGCAAGAACTTGATATATGATATATTGCAATATTTTCCTGAAATATCATGATTACATAACAATACTTTCCCCCCTTTTCAATGAAATAAAATATTTTCTTTGACTTACTTAATTTATTCACTATAATAGTTTCTGCTGAATTTTTATTCACTTACGTATACTCTGACTTGTTATTTCACTATTAATAGTTTCTCTGACTTATTAATTTACTTTCAATAGTTTCTCTGATTTATTCATTCACTTACAATAGTTTCTCTGACTGGTTCATCCAATGTGTTGAATTCTTGATCATCACTGTCCTTGCCATCATCATTTGTCAGTATCTCTCCTTCCAATGGGACATCATTCATTCCCTGAAGAGGACAAATTTTAAATATTACGAAATGGTTACTGACACAAGTACAGTATGTATTTAGTACACACTCAAATAAGGGCTATCTTAGAGGCTGAAATTAATGCAAAATGTATGGGGGAATAAGCCTTTTAAATTAGTGAATTTGAATATATTGCAAAAATATTAGTATTAAATTATTGTTTTTTTTTCAAATTCCAACTGATCGTTTATTCAGACAAATATTTTGAATTAGTTCAACGACTTGGATGCTGTTAAGAAGTCAATGGACATCTGAGAAAATTCAAGCTAAATTATTTTGGATCAGTGTATTCTGAAGAAATCATTGTGTTAAAAATCTTAACGTCACAGTCTACAACAATAGAGAAAATTGAAAAATTCGCAATTCAGCTTTGACATAAATCGTAAGAAATAAAGATTTTTCCAGCATTTTGAGCACCTCTTGGCTTTTTAGAAAATCCACGTCAGCCATGTTGGAGATTTCTAATTCCGGTTACGGAATTTACCGCCTTACGTTATAAACATTCCAGAGGCTTTCCGATTAAGGGGATTTCCGATATTTTGGCCTCATAGCACGTGTTGACACTGGGGCCAAAACAAAGTGTTTCATGATGGTTACTGCTTGCTGTGTGAGATGTGTATTGGTTTTATTATCGATATGTCCAAGTACTATAACTCAGAAAGAACCACCCGATGTTTCCAAAGGACAGAGATCACCATTAGAAATGTGTATCCTTGTTATATCTTTAAATTAGAGGAGCTGGGGATATATATTATAAGGCCTTTCTTGGTCAAAAATCCCTTGAATTTTAGAAAGGGAAATAGACAGTTGATTGAGTATGAAATTGCTGATAACATGCTTTTTTTAAAAAAAAGTTTTTAATTAAACTTTTCTACATTTCCATTTGAGATATATTGTGTATTCATAAAACCTTTTCCTATATACGTACGTTACTAAATATTCTCTATTGAGAAGTTGATGGCTCGTTTTAATACTCCTCCCCTTGAGGGGGAGTATTAAAACGAGCCATCAACTTCTCAATAGAGAATAGTTACTAAACTGTTATATAAATTATAATGCAATCGATATGAGCAGCTCAATGTTAGAAAGACAGTATGAACATAAAATCATGTATATTTAATTGATTTTGAATTTCTTTTCCTCATATTGTTATTCTGTTGTCTGTTGTCAAGTTAACTAAAAATACTTATGGTACAAGAACTTTAAAGGAAGATGAAGTTCCTAATTTCGTAATATAATATTCTGGTATACTCCCATTCACCCCACTTTCACTTCCATCTCATTTTTACTAGCTTTTTTCAATGATTCTCATCAAATATGCTCATTCAAACTTGTAACAGTAAGGAGAACAAAAAAAACATATATACAAATGAAACATTAGACAACCATCACCTTATATTATTTAAGTCAGGCCATCTTTGAAGTACCGTAATGTTTGTTTGCCCTCTCCCGACTCAGGGTAAAAAAAATGGGTGGGTAGAATTTTTTTTTCCCAAGAAAATGTCAACATTCATATTGATGGGATGAGAAAATTTAGGAATAAATAAGGAAAAAAAATTATTGTTTAATGGAGGTTAAAAAAAAGTTTAGAGTCAGGCCATTTTTAGCCAGTCAGTCTCATATTGCCTTACCCTGGAGCTCAATATTAAGGCCATCATATCCCAAAATGCCACATGAACCTTTTAAGAAAATGCCACTTTTCATTCCTCTTGTTTCCATCCCTCTCATACACCCATTAATAGGCCTATTTACACGGTATGATTTGTAAGATGTGACTCACCACATCTTACAAATCATACTGTGTAGATAGGAAAATCATAAGCCAGATATGAAGTCAGATGGAATAGAGACATGCTCTATTCTGTCTGGCAAGTCAGATGGTTTCAACCGATCATAAGCAAGGTCAGAAAGGTTGATCTGAATTAGGTACAATTAACACATGGATTTTTCCCGAACTTTTGCTCAAGATCAATTTTAAGATTAATGTGATATATTACATGGCCAAATCTTGGGGGAGTTTTTCATTCCATGTACTTGAATTGATAATGCCAGGAAAGTTAAACTGAACAAATCTATTGGTTAACAAATTATACTTAGAAGTAAATTTGTCTGAAAAAATGAAATCATTTAGGTATTTCATATAGCTAATTCCTCACTTATTGCATGATATGCACCATGTCCTAACCAAAGTCTTGCCCATGTTCTTCTGTGTTCAAATGGTACATAGCTGCTATCATTAGGAAAAGGAAAGGTTGTATGTAATTGCCGTTTTCCATTGTTAAATTGTAAACAATAAGAAATTTGGAGGGAAATATTAATGAACTACATATTTGACAAATCATACAATGTATTATGAAACACTGGAGTCAGATGTGAAATCACATCTGAAATCACATCTTACAAGTCACTGAAGTCAGACTGTAAATAGGCCTTAATTCTCACTTCTATTCTTCTTAATCTTCACTTCCATTTCCCTCACTTTTTCTTCCATTTTTCTCACCCTAACATTTATTCCTTTCACTCTCAATCCTATATTCTTCTGAAGTTCTGCACCTTGCAGTCTAACTTTAATCCCTCTTGCTTTAACTTCAACAAATGATCTCACTTTAAACTTCAAAGTTCTATTTCTGTCCATTCCTTGTCATTTTTCAATCTAAGACTTCTGCTCCTCTATCTCTTACATTCACTCCTGTCATTTTACTTACCGGTACTCTAGATTCCTCTTTCCTTCATATTTACTTTCACTTCTCTCTATTTACAATTTAAATGTTATTCCTTTATACAGCTGTAATAGTAATCATTTTGTGACTGTTCTCTATTACATGTAAATAAAAATGAACGAGAGGATTTCTTTTTTTAATTTTGACCAAGATTATTGACAGATGTTTTTAGATGTGTCTTTATCTTCCATAATGTTTGAATAATACCAGAGACTATTCATCTTCCTATATATATATGTTAATGTGTCAAATTTTCAATCCTTTTTGAGGGGATTTCATTTAACCTTGATACAGAGATTGAACCTCTTGCATAGATGTACATAAAGGGAGAAATCTTTATGTTTGTAGTAAAAATGAAATGGATTTCATTTAAACTCATTGAAAACCTAGATTATCATAAGTAACTATGAATGATGACACATTATGTGAGAGATTGTAGGAGTTCCTTCCCCTAGTACATTACTTTTTTGTTGCAAACCATTTGTAAATGATTGAAAGCAACAAACTTGGTTACAGGTTAGAGTAGTCCATAAATTTATTTCATGAAAGGATCTAATTTAATGTCCCAGATAAAATCATACCATATGAGTGGAAGTTTCAGCAAGAAGCAAATTTAGCAATTTGTCCATCAGTAATATATTTAAGCAAGAAGTAATTTTAGTGAATATTTGATAAAATATTCATGAACTATTGATTAAAATGCCAAAATTAAATCCTTGCTAAAATTTCTGCTTATATGATATAACACATGCAATCCCTGCCTCTTGGAGGACTTGTTTCAAAATATATTATACAACTGTGACTGAGAGAATTAGTCAGTGGACTTAACTTTCTTAACTCACAAACCATAGCAACCAGGGTATTTTTTTATTATGTAAATTTATTCATAATAATGTACATGTAGTAATGCATTAGGTGAAGTGTTTTTTTTTTTTTTTTTTGGAGGTAATGACTTGCACACTTAAATTCTTTAGCTATAGATATACGGTACCTTCAACTCAACAAGAAAAAACATGAGGCAGCTTGTATATTTCTCATGACAGGCTTGACTGCCATGTTCTGCTACCATTACAATAATTATATTCAGTAGAACTCCAAACATTTTTTACTCCTTATCTTTCCTAATTTAATGACAGATAAAAAATTATTCCAAGAACACAGAGCACTACAACTTGAAGCTGTGAAATCCATCCAGAACTTTGGAGAATACAAACAACGATATAAACTTGTTGAGCTGACGCTTCAGAAGCTTTTTACAGTAGGAATTCAAAATATCACGTACAATGAATACGCCTGTAATTTCACTTAATGATTTAAATTACACACTTAATACATGAAATTACAAAAAATGCGATATGCTACAGCAACATGAATGATTTTATTCCAAGAATTAACAAAAATTTGAGATCATTAAAAAAGTAGAAAATAAGAATTGCATGTGTAAGAAAATCATATTTTCATTCATGCATTGTTCATTGATTTTTGTAGGTCATCAATGAAGCCAAGGCAAATCTAACTGTCTGGGGGTATGTGCCTGGAGACCCTTTTCCAGATAATTCCACGATCAGAGATGGTATAATTTTGTAAAATACTCTTGAAGATACCAGTAAGCTTTTGTAAGAACCATTTCAAAGGTTTATTGTAGTGTAGTAATGTTAAAACATCAGAAATAGAAAAAAAAAACAAAACAAAAAAAACAAGCACATTAATGATAGCTATATGTATAAATGTTATAAAAATATTAAGCCCAGCTTATCACAAGACCTGATGTTTTAATGAGAGCCTTCTCTGTTCTTTGGTAAATAGAGATCATTATCTGGAATCTTCTAGGAGCCACAAAGTCCCATTGATACAATATAAAACATCATTGATGTACTCCTAACCTTAAATTTAGATGATGTCTTAAAGTTGATGCATGCTTGATGAAAAATGAATTAGGATAAAGAGAAGCTGTTGTGTTTGAAAAAAAACTCTTCGTATGCTTCAGCTTGATAATTAATGTTTAATTATAGCTCATATTTATCTTTCACTATGAAAATTTTTATTCCCTTCTTTGCTGCAAGAATTTAAAATTTAAAATTATATACTTGTATTATAAAACATGTATATTAAATCTATTTCAGGTGTGAAGTAATGTACTATACTGTAATGTAGTATACAATGAATTTGTTTTACTGGTAATTGAAATGAGGCTCGGTAAAATGTTCAGTATATTTACTATAAATCATTTTTGCCATTCAGAATTCTGTAACCTGGTAACATTAAGCTTTAATACATACAATGACTCTGTACAGTATTTTAACTGGTTTGGTACCGTGGGGCCCGTTTTACAAAAGAACTTACGACTAAGACCAAAAAATTAAATTTATTGTACAATTCTTCAAAATTAACGATTCTTTTTTAAAATTGCTAGGCTAGCGTAAAAATATTTTACTAAATTCCTTTTAAAAAGATTAAACCATTTTCGTAAAACCATATAACGTAAATTGAAAAGTTACAAGCAGAATTAAATTTTGGTCTTAGTCGTAAGTTCTTTTGTAAAACGGGCCCCTAGTATTCATGTTACATGAGCTTCAGTTTCTGTACTTAGTTTCCCAATATCTATAGAGTGTGGTTAGGGTAACATTTCAGAAATGAGTCATTGTTCAATTTCAAATGATTCAAAAGAAACAAAATTAGGAATGGGGAGCATGCCTGTAGTAAATGAGTTTAAATGTTTTCCCAGTGGGAGCTTGTATTTTTATGCTTTAGCAAACCCAACCATCATCACATTTCTGTAAATACAATTTATCAAGCCAAGGTCACTTTAAACTGAGCTCCTATTGAGCTACTCTGATAAGCATGAAAAAGTTTGTAGGAAATGTCAAATTAATTATGTTGAGCTTTTGGCATTAAAGGGAGTGCAGTTGACCCTCTTTGATGAAAAAATTATCTTAGATTATTTATGAAGTTATCATGATTTGGATTTTCATATGGATACTCTGCATGTGGTTTGATCAGACTTGCAAGGAGGGACTTAGAATATGATAATTTACATTTTATCAATGATTCATTTATTTGCAAAAAAAAAAAAACCAAACATCAAAGTTTAGGGGTCGAATCAACAAGAAAATGTTTTAATATTAAATTTATTACAATACAAGATGGTAGTGTTCAAGGGAAGCTGACAGCTTTAAGGATTGAAACATAACAAACCATAGATTATTGTTACTTTGTTTAAAACAAAACTCTGCTAATGCCATACTTCAGATATGTTAGGAATTTCAGTGTGTGTATGTAAATGTAGGAATTGGTAACATAAACATTTTGCAATGTCTTTTGCAAGATTCAGTTGTACATGTGTATTTGCAGTGTATGTGCTGTAATTCATTTTTAATTTAAGCCACATAATTAATGATCAAAATGCATGTGCGGATCTAGAGGGGGCGGGGGGGGGGGGGGGGGGGCTTTTGGACTCCCCTGGAATTTGCAGAGTTATTAAATGTATATAGTAAAGCCACTAAAAGTGACCTTGGACCCCCCTAGAAAATGTGAGTCCTGTTAAGTTGACAGGAAAAGTCATACATATTATTCAATTATCACTTAATTATTTTCTAACAGGTTTAACAGAAGCAACAAATAACAAATAAGCCCTTTTGTGTATACAATTACATGTAGTACTTAGCTTGACTAGGATTGACACCTATGACGTCAGAGCAATGGCGTGTAACATTGGCGATCAAAATATGCATATTGAGAAATTCAAACTTTGAATCACTGAAACATCAAAAATATTAATTTTCTAGCAAAGAATTTTATATATGATTTTAATAACATGTAAACTTTGTCATATCCAAAAATTTTGAGACATGATAAAAATCCTTTAAGAAAGCCTTTAACTGTTTAAATACAAGTCTTTAAATTGTATACAGTTGAACTTCGGTATCTCGAACACTGATATCTAGAGTACCATGGATATGTCGAAGTGATTTTGAAGTCCCAACCACATATTCTCTAAGTATTTTACCCCGATATGTCAAATACTTGGATATCTTGAAGTATTTCTCGGTCCCATTGAGTTCGAGATAACGAGGTTTGACTGTACTTGTTATCATATTTAGTTCTAAATTTACAGTATACATGTATTTCACCTTTATATAAGTAATTGGGTTTTACAGTTTTAACATGCAGTAGAAAAAGTTGCCAATATTTGTCGTAAAATTTAATTGTGTTCCATAAAATTATTGAAGTGCTACCATTTTTATTATTTTATTATTATTATTATATTATATTTTATTATTATTTTTATTTATTATTTTTTTACCATTTAAAATATTTGAAACAAACTATTAAGAAAGAAACTTTATAATGCACTTTCTCAGAGTGTACAGATATTTTCTCCTTTCATGTTACATGCAGTCTCCTAAGTTTTACCATGCAGCTTTTTCCCTTTTTTTTTCAAAAAGCTAAAGTAATGAGAAAGAAAACTCATATTTAATTACATTAAGTACCACAGATAATAAAATTAACTTGTTTAAACGAATTACAGATGCAGTAATTTTTTTCCCAGAAGGTTTACTGTGACAGTTTTTCACAATACTACTTCAGTTTGATTTATGAAGTGGAGTCACTACTAACTCTGCTCCTTCAGGGACAGGGCATTAAGAGTTCATCTTCTGTTGGACAGAAGAGGCCATGTGTACAGTATAGCTTTATTCCCAGTAGTTTATAATGAAGACTGGGTGATACCTCAGCATCCTAAGTGTGGCAGGCCTGATTGTCTTCATTGTACCACAGATCACTGACCTATGACAGATTTATGATGGCTTAAACACCATAAATTATCTACATCTGTCAAATTTGGCAGCCAATACAGTGGCGTATATTTATACTAGAGAAAAAGATTAAAAGTCTCTGTTTTCTTTTTAAAATTTGAAGGGGTTAACATTTTCTGACATTATATTACTATGAACATTGTTAGTTATTATACCCCACGCAACTAGTTGCGGGGGGTGTAATGTTTTTGACCCGTCAGTCAGTTAGTCAGTCAGTCCGTCAGTCCTGTTTTTTTGTCAGCGCAACTTCTCCTAAACCGCTCACAGAATTTTGTCAAACTTTGCAGATATTTAGGACACAATGTGTAGATGTGCATATTACCAGGAAATTCCGATTCCTTTATTTTTTCTGGGAATTTCAGCACTTTTCAACTTAGATTTTTGGCCATATCTTGAATGTAGAGATTAACAGTTTATCAGTGCAAGTCCTCCTAAACCGCTGCACTGAGTTTCGTCAAACTTTGCAGATATTTAGGACACAATGTGTAGATGTGCATATTACCAGGAAATTCCGATTGCTTTATTTTTTCTGGGAATTTCGGCACTTTTCAACTTAGATTTTTGGCCATATATTGAATGTAGAAATGAACAGTTTGTCAGCGCAACTCCTCTTAAACTGCTGCACAGAATTTCGTCAAACTTTGCAGATATTTAGGACACAGTGTGTAGATGTGCATATTACCAGGAAATTCCGATTCCTTTATTTTTTCTGGGAATTTCGGCACTTTTCAACTTAGATTTTTGGCCATATCTTGAATATACAGATGAACAGTTTGTCAACGCAACTCCTCTTAAACTGCTGCACAGAATTTCGTCAAACTTTGCAGATATTTAGGATACAGTGTGTAGATGTGCACATTACCAGGAAATTCCGATCCCGTTATTTTTACCCTAAGAGTTTTGCCTATTATTGAAGAAACTTTCCAGCTAGGTAATAAGGAAATCCACTGGAATCAGCCTTTGTAATGACATTTTATGTGAAATATTTTATGACCTTAAAAGACCCCTACTGATTTTGAGATCAAAATATTAATGATTGAACACACACACAAAATCTTGAATCTTTGATAGTTCTCCCCCCCCCCCCCCCCCCCCCCCCCAAATTGGTGCTTTGCCTTAAATAATTTCATAAGTACAGTATATAAACAAATTCATATGACTACATCATAATTTTGTTTCCATCAATTATATAAATGTGTAAGTTGTCATGTGTTGGACATGGACTTACACTCATTAACAAATTGAAATCACTGAGGAATTTAAATAACAGTTTGTCAGCATAACTCCTGCACTGAATTTCCTGAAACTTTGCAGGTATTTCAGACATAATGTATAGATTTGTATATTACCAAGAAATTTTGATTCCATTATTTATCTAGAAACTTCAGCCCAATTAAATTTGTAACTACATGTACAAAGATTTGAATGTCCTTATATGCAAGAAGTTTTGATGTGATGATTTTTTGCAAGTAATGACCCTTTTTGAATTATACTGTGTATTTAAAATGCACTGTGCCTTTAGGTGTGTTGCACTGTCGAGTTTTGGGGGAGCGTGGGGTATGTGAGCTTGCTCACTTTTTCTTTCATTTTATTGGCTAGCACTTGTGGCTTTTTAGCTCACCTCAACGAATTCGAGATGAGCTTATGCTATATCCCCGACGTCGGCGTCAGTGTCCGCGTTAGCGTCCCGGTTAAAGTTTTAGGAGCAAGTCCCATTCCCAAGTAACTATAAGCCCTACTTGGACCAAACTTGCAGGATAATGCATCTAGGGATGGACACTACCACACTTGCTTCGGATGCTGGATCTGACCTAGATTTTCCAGATGAATGACCAGGTTAAAGTTTTTGGAGCAGGTCCATTCCCAAGTAAGTATAAGCCCTACCTGGACCAAACTTGCATGGATGATGCATCTAGGGATGGACACTACCACACTTGCTTCGGATGCTGGATCTGACCTACATTTTCCAGATGAGTGACCAGGTTAAAGTTTTTGGAGCAGGTCCATTCCCAAGTAAGTATAAGCCCTACCTTGACCAAACTTGCATGGATGATGCATCTAGGGATGGAAACTACCACGCTTGCTTCGGGTGCTGGATTTGACCTAGATTTTCCAGATGAGTGACTAGGTTAAAGTTTTTGGAGCAGGTACGCTCCCAGGTAAGTATAAGCCCTACCCTTAACCATACTTGCATGGATGATGCATCCAGGGATAGACACTACCACACTTGCTTCGGATGCTGGATCTGAGCTAGATTTTCCACATGTGAGACCAGGTTTAGATTTTGGAGCAGTATCGTTCCCAAGTAACTATAAGTCCTACCTGGACCAAACTTTCATGGATGATGCATCTAGGGATGTACACTAACCAACCTGCTTTGGATGCTGGATCTGACCTAGATTTTCCAGATGAGTGAATTTTAGCCATATTTTAACCAAATTAGCATGGATGATGTATCTAGGGATGGACATTTTCATACTTGCTTTGGATTCTGAATCTGACTTACATTTTCCAGATGAGTGACCAGGGTAATTTTTTGGAGAAGCTTTATAATATTTTGGCTTGTTATGATTAAACTTGCATAGATGGTGCACCTAAGGATGAAAACTTCTAGACTTGCTTTGGATGTTGGAACTGACCACAATTTTCTTGATTACAAAACAGGTTAAAAGTTTTTTGAGCAGGTCTATTTCCAAGTAACTATAAGTCCCACTTAAACCAAACTTGCATGGATATTGATCTTGGGATGTACCCAAACTAGAAAAAAAAATATTATGTGAAATTTGCCTTACTTATAGATAACATTCGTTGAGAGGAGCTTCGTAACCTATGTTTTGTATAGGTATACCCAGAATCTGCATTATATACACTGCACTATTGGTACTTGAATGTGGTCAGAGTTGAATTTATATCTGTAATATTTCCTTCATTTCAGGACTTTCTAAAGTGTTTGAAAATACAGCCATGTTTGGAGACTTAGTTCTTCGACTTCCAGACATTGTCCATGCTATTTATGATTCAAACAAAGACTGGCAGTTTCTGATTGGTTGGTGTTATTGGTTTTGTAAAGAGTCAGGGGTGTTCGATGGGACAGATGGCAAACTCCTACATCTGGTATAAATAATGTACATTTACATATAATATATGATATATATTTTCAAGTAAATCAATAATTTTTTTTTTGGGGGGGGGGGATGTATGCATTTCCAAAAATGATTAAAGGATTAAAGAGGCTTTTATGCCTGCTGATTTCATGAAATCTATGCCTTAGATTACATGTTTCCTGTTAAAATGACACATATTCTGAAACTGATTTAATGCACTTATCAAATTAACAATGCAAGTGTTTGGTATGAAATACTTGTAGATTTTTCTTACTATCTGGTATTTGTAGAAAGACAGCAAGAACTCTTCTCCATGTTTCGATGATAGAGAACTTGGTTAATTGCTTTTTGTTTTATTATCTGAACTTGACTTTTTACACCAGACTCTGTGTAAATCTGTTGATGATGTTTGTAAGAATTAGTGTCAGCAGGGTAACCAATAGCTTCAGAGAATATGAAACATATGTTGATTTAGTAATTATAAACTTGAGTTAATTAGACAGCTGCCTAGATAATGGTGAAGACACTAGGATTTTTTTTTTTTTACAGAATCAGGGTATCACTGTTATCACAATTCTTATCATTACAGATGGCACAAGAAGTCAACTTGATAGAAAAAGAGGAGAATTATTTGAATCCTTTCACGATAGAGAATCAACTTAAACAGGTAAGATTGTGAAACATATAATCAGTGACCCTATTCACGTTGTATGCAGCAAGCAAAGGTTTAGATTCATAATACAGATATTGTAACAGAGTAAAATCAGCAGAAGGCCTAATGTATATAAATATTTACTGTAAACAGACTTTTTTCCATGGGTGATAATTCCACAGAATCACAATTTCTGTGGTAGAAAAATATGTGCATTACTTGGAGTGCCATTGAATGTCTTAAATGCACTCTACTTATGCTGTAACAAATTTCTGCAGAAAATTTGTGACTGTACCTAGCATAAACAAGCATTCTGAGAGTATTGCATTAGCAATACTAGTCCCCTACTGGCAAGTGTAATCTGGTTCCCCTTAAGAATTGAAAATGTCATATCTCCATCAAAAATCAATGATGCGGAACGAAATGCAAACTTGATCTATAACTAATCAAGGTAAAGTCACATACCAAAAATCAGCTCAATATCTGAAAGCGTTCAGAAGAAAATTGCGGAAAACCCTGAAAAATTGAAAAGACCATAATTCCTTCAAAAATCAATGAAGCGGAACAAAATGCAAACTTGATCTGTAACTCATCAAGATACACTCACATGCCAAAAATCGGCTCAATATCTGCAAGCGTTTAGGAAAAAAGTGTGGAAAACCAAGTGGGACAGACTGACAGAGGGACAGACAGACAGACAGATGGACGGACAGACTTATATATGTATGTGACATTTGTTAGGTCACTTGAACCATAGGTTCAGTTCTTTTTCTGATCAAAGTTAATCTGGGGTACATGTATCTCTGTTCATCTGTAAGTAATGTAAGATTTCCAAAGTTTTTTTTCTATCATCACTGTCCTATTTTCCACAAAATATCTCTGGATGACAGAGATGAGAGAATTTATTCATGTTAAAGGCCATGCTTTCTATTAAAGGGAATGCTCCCTACATGTATGTATTCTTAAACTAGATTCCAGTTTGTTCATGTCCAAGGACTGGAAAGCAGGAGGGGGTTAGGGGGGTCATTTTTTTTACAGGAATATAGCAGAAAAAATATTGAAAAAAGTGTTGTTCTCAAGAATAGAAGGACCATATGGAGGCATCCATTTGTAGATTCAATTTCTTGAAGTCAAGTACCCATGGGGCTAGGCTAGGGGCACAATCGGAGTCAAAGTTTGACATTGTACTATTTGAGAAAGATGTCTTTCTCAAAAACACTGTTTCACAATTACGCAACATCCCCGTGTTCTGTAGATTCAAATATGCTCAAACCATAGCCCAGGGAGCTAGGGTAAGGCTACAAGAGGGAGAAAAGCTTTACATAAAAATAATTTGGTAAACTTAAAAATCTTCTCAACAACAGCAGTGCAACCTAGTCAAGATTTGAAGCATCTACATACATGTCTGTCATTAACTGAAATGTTTAAAGTAAGAAATCCTTGTCAGAGCCACAGTCAATCAAATAAATTTGCAAACATTCTAACAAAGTGCAAATTCAATTTTTTTTCTAGATCCCTGGCCCTTGGGGCAAAAGGGGGGGGGGGGGCTATAATTAGAGTCAAAGTTTAACATAGAAATTGGTACAAATAAATATTTTAAACATCATCAAACAAACAATAATCTTTGATTTTTCGTATTAATTTGCAAGCACCCTCATGAAGCATAGATTTCAGTTAATGTAAGCCATAGCCTCAAATGTGGGGCAACAGTAGAGGTAAAAAATATTTACACAGAAATACAATGACAACAAGTCTACAATCTATAAAACTTGAGACCCAGTCATATACTGTATTTCTTGCAATCTTGTACTTCACAGTAGCAGTAAGGGGTTTCATTAATCTACATGTTCATTTGTCAGAATGAGAATTGTAACTCAGATTATCATGGTGGCCCATGGTTCTATTTCTATTGTGTGTTTTGTTGTTGTTGCAGTAAATAACCTCCTGTTCTACCTTTTTTCAGCAAAGGCAAAAGCATGAAGAAGTTAAAAAAGACATTAAAATAAAGAAGAAGAAAAAGGAAAGGAAGAAAGGACCTCAAATAACTAGGGTTGATCTTTGAATGGGGGAAGGGGGGGTACATAGATTTAAAAAAAAATGTTATTACCATTTTCTGCCTGTAGTTTTTTTTTTTCAATGGTAGAGGACTGTTTTGGAAATAATTTATTGCTACAAGAACAACAACACAAGGTAATGCAGGGAATTCCCTGCTGAAGAAAAACAAGTGGGCGGTAGACTTAATAAAATGGAGATGCAGATGGAGAAAGAAAAGAAGGATTGTAGGGATCATTATGATTTGAAATTGAACTGCAACATCTCAAAGAGAACAAAAGTTATTCAGTATCAGGCAATACATGTAAAGGATTCTCTGACCTTGACCCATGGACCTCAAAGTTAATATGGGTTTTATCTTTAAAATTCCTATGTACATGTACTGACTTATTGATAAAATTTTAATGCAAAAGTTAAAAAAAAAAAAAAACGTCTTGAAACCATTTAATGTAATATATAAATGCTTGTCATTTTTACATCAAAATGGGGTCTTCAAGCACTAGGGAGGTATAATATACATGTATCATTGCAAATAGAGACATCATCTGGACAAGAAAGTGCAACTGACAAAAAGACAGGTTGATGGACATTAATATCCCCTACTTTATACAAAAGTTGGGGACAATTAGTTCAATGTAGATTTCTCTAATTCATATTACCTTATTATCCATATTTGTGCACAGAACTTGGAATCACATCAATGATGAACAGTCAGCTCTTGATTATCTATTCAACCTGTCATATTTGTGTTTATTCAGTAAACATAGTAAAACAAAGGTAAGCAAAGATTACAAAAGCTCACCTCCCAAAGTCTTGCACCAAACAAATGTTCTAGTAGTATGCATCCCTAGATGCAACATGTATGCAAGTTTGGTCTGGGTAGGGTTTTTAAGGTACTTGAGTATGGACTTGCTCCAAAAACTTTTTCTTTGCAAGTCTGATAGTATGCATCCCTAGATTGATTAGCATAGGTCTTACAATAACCTGGGGGAAAAATCTGCTTATTCATCCAGAAAATGTAGGTCATGTCCAGAATAATCCAAAGCAAATCTTGTATTTTCATTCCTACATGAATCATCCATGAAAGTTTGGTCCAGATAAGGCTTTTAGTTACTTGGTAATGGACTTGCTTCTCAATTCTAACCTGTTCATTCATCTAGAAAATGTAGGTCAGATGCAGTACCTGAAGCAAGTATGCTAGTGTGCATCTTTGCAAGTTTGGTCCAAGTAGGGTTCATAGTTGCTTGGGAATGAGACCTGCTCCAAAAACTTCATCCTGCTCCAAAAACATTAACCAATCATTCTTGTGGAAAATACTGCCTGGAATTGCAGCATCTGAAACCTGAATGGTACAAAAAAAACCATATTAAATGCATCATCCTTGCCACTGACATAGAAATACTTAGACAGAAAACTTTAACCTGGGATGCAGCGAGTTCTGAGTATTCAATAAACTACCCCAACTTTGTTGAGGTCTGGACAGATGACTAGGCCTTTAAAGGTGCTTAGACACAGATTTGAAGTTTATATTTTCTCAAATTTTCTGTATAATATCACGACTTATATATTGCAATAGCATTTCACACGAAAATATGATTAAAAACTTATTTTATCTGGAAATTATTGGAACTATGAATTCCTGGACGCGTTTGATTAACACATCCTTGCACTTTCACAAATTTTATCTTTACCCTTAATATTTAAGAAAAGAAGCTATTTTTTGTGTATTAATGAAAAACATTACATCTATAATCCAGAAAATTCAGAGTAGAAATGTGCGAAAGCAAACCCCCTCACTAATATTGTCAGCCCGTGCTCAGTGTTGTGAACAGAGTTTAACAAATTGAATACACCCGTGAAACATAAACTGTTTCTGTAAACAGGGCACGAGCTCTGTTATTGTTAATGTTTACGATTCACCGGGTGTGTTTAATTGTTATAGTCTGCACACACCACTGAGCACGGACTGACAATACTGTGAGTGGATTTTGCTTTCGAACATTTCTACTCTGAATTTTTCTGGATTATAGTTTTAATATTTTTCATTAATACAAAACAAAATTGCCACTTTTTTTAAGTATTAAGAATAGAATTAAAATTTGTGAAAATGCAAGGATGTGTCAATCAAACGCGTCCATAAATTTGAAGTTTCAGTAACTTCGAGATGAAATAAGATTTTTATTATATTTTAGTATGAAATGCTATAGCAACATATAAGTCATGAATTTATGCAGAAAATTTGAGAAAATGTTAACTTCAAATCTGTGTCCAAGCACCTTTAAGACAAGGAAAAAGATCACCTTAGAGTTTTGATCAAATTTTTACTATTTTTTGTGTAACCAGGGAGGAAAAAATTAAGCAACTTATTCTCTTTTCAATTCAAGAGCCCTACTCACTGTGTCAATTTAAAGTCCACCTTCCTAATCACACAGCAGACCTAGCTAGATCCAATACACATATTTACATTTCCAAATATTTTTCCTCAAGATTCTTTGCAAATCAGAAAAAGTTCATGTTCTCATGAACTACCGTGGGATGAGTAAGAATATTTCAATTGTGATGTGATTGAAGTCAAAAAATAGTGCAAACTTTTTTTTTCAGAAATGATCCTTGAAAGACAAAAATATGTGGCAAGTCACCAGAAAAATAATGTCAATATAAGATATGAATTTAATTTTTGAGAATTCATGAGGTACATGAACTACAATGCTTCATGCCTGCATAGTTATCATGAAGCGCTAACATGCTTCATGAAATATGCAGGCATGAAGCATCGTAGTTCATGTCCTCATGAATTCTCAAATATTAAATTCATCTCTTAAGTAATCATGTAGATGAAATATTGCTTTGTTTGAAAACATTAATGCTTATTTTGAAAAATAAATCAAAATATTATGAAAAAAATGTTTTTATTAAAGCATAATGTATTAAATAACTGCTTATTAATGAAATATAAGTAGTAATATAGAAAACAAGATGTGTTTGTGAAACACTGATGCCCCTGTATGGCAGCTTATGGCGAAGGTTAAAGTTTCTCAAATGCAAGTCAAACTCCAGGTCAATAGATAAAAAATGTTGGTACCCAAAGAAAGGTCTTGTCTCGAGGAATATACCTGAAATTTGAAAACCCTAGCACCAGTTATTCAAAAGTTATGGTGAAGGTTAAAGTTTTTAAATGTAAAACATCAAGGTCAAGGTCAAATGGGGCCCCAAGGGAAGGTCTTTTCACAATTGATGTACACATGTTCATGAAATGTGAAATCCCTAGAACCAAACGTTCACATGTTATGGCCAAGGTTAAAGTTTTTTAAAAGTAGGTCAAACTTCAAGGTCAAGGTCAATGCCAAAATTGTTGGTATCCAAAGGAAAGTCTTGTCCTAAGAAATGCACATGTGAAGAATGAAAGCCGTAGCACCAAATGTTTAAAAGGTATGGACAATATTAAAGCTTTTCAAAAGTAGGTCAAACGTCAAGGTCAAAGGGTCAAAGTGGTTGGTACAAATGAGGGTCTTATCTCAAGGAATAGACATCTTAAATATGAAAGCCCTAGCACCAATCATTCAAAAGTTATGACCAAGATTAAAGTTTCTCGAAAGTAGGTCAAACTCCTAGGTCAAGGTCAAAAGGTCAAAGTGGTTGGTATTCAAAGGAAGGTCTTGTTACAATGATTACATATGTGAACTATGAAAGCCCTAGCACCAACCATTCAAAAGTTATGGCCAAGGTTAAAGTTTTTCAGAAGGGTCAAACACCTTGGTCAAGGTCAAAGGGTCAAAGTGATTGGTATCCTAAGGAAGGTCTTGTCACAAGGAATAAACATATCAAATATGAAAGCCCTAGCACTAACCGTTCAAAAGTTATGGACAAGGTTAAACTTTTTCAAAAGTAGGTCAATCTCCAAGGTCAAGGTCAAAACGTCAAAGTTGTTGGTATCCAAAGGAAGGTCTTGTCACAAGGAATACACATGTGAAGTTTGAAAGCCCAAACACCAACTGTTCAAAAGTTATGGTCAAGGTTAAAGTCTCATAAAATTTTGCAAAAGTGGTTCAAAATCCAAGGTCAAGGTCAAAAGATCAAATATGATAATACCCAAAGAAAGGTCTTCTCACAAGGAATACACATGTGAAATATGAAAGTCATACCTCCAACCAATCAAAAGTTATGGGCAAGGTTAAAGTTTTTACAGACAATCAGACAGACAGATGGACAGGGCAAAAACTATATACCCCCGAATTTTCGATAAGGGGGCATAAAAATAGATAATAAAGACACATTTTATATGATTGTACAGTGTATATAAACTAGAACTGTCCAAAAGGGACAAATACCCCCAGCTGGGTTTTTAAGAGGTGCCAAATCACTAATATTTTATGGATCTAAGAGGTGTTCACAATTTTCTTATTAACATTTAAAGTGAAAAAATAATTGCTCATTACATTTTTTTTTAATGAATGAAACCAAGGAACAACCTAATAAAACATCAATACACTGTACCAATATATTATAATTACATTGTTTTTTAATACATTGAAAAAATAAATTGCAACTATCTGTCATCTTTTTGAGACATGACATTCTGCAAATTGATTTTTGAAAAAAATAATTAATTAATTACAAAATCAAATTAATCTTGATAACTTTATATCAAATTCATTTTAAAAATGAAAGGCTCAGGTCATCCAGTAACTATGTACTATGACAGACAATAAATTATAATTAAGAGAATTAAAGAACAGAGATCTTTAAATTCCCAGGAGATATACATGTAGATAACACATTCTTGATCAGAGATGCCCTAACAACTTCCAACACTGAACTCATTAATTAATCTTTAACTGGATGCATGTTCACTCATTACTCCAAAGGGACAAATGGATTTACACTATCTGCTGTCTAATGTAAAAATTGTTTTTAATACTTGGTGATTTTTTTTTGTTTTAATGAATAGTTTTAAGATGTAGTTCACATTTTTGGACAGATGTTCTAGATTCTGTGTCTCAAACCTTAGAAATAAACCCAAAATGACTAAGTCAATAAAAATGAAAAAAAAAAACCCTGTAAAATGCAGAAAAATTATCAAATAATGTTGAAAATACCAGGTGCACATTTTCATATGGTAAATAATAAGTGTACAAATTTTCATACAATTCTATGAAATAGTCTTTGAGAAAAGGTCAGGACAAAACCACATAATAAAAAGGAAAAAAACACCTGTAAAATGCAGAAAAATTCTTCAATCATGATGAAAATACCAGGTGCACACCTTCATATGGTGAATAATAAGTGTACAAATTTTTAGACAAATCTATGCAATAGTTTCCGTGAAACGCTCGGGACAAAATCTTGTCTACAGGCAGATGGACATGGTGATTCCAATATACCCCCTAAATTTTATTTGCGGGGGGTATAAAAATATCAATGTTGTACTTCATTTTTAAAACACACAGCCGAGTAAATTTAAATTTCTAAATGCCAGAAGTGTAGAAATCACATCAAAATACAACACGGATCAATAACTGATGACCTTCAACCTCCCAGAATCGAACTCTCCAATCCAGAGCCTATCCTTATCATCCACTGCGAGGCCACATGGATGACTAAGACTGCAGCTATCTATCAAGGACACAAACTGACCATCTTTACTTATGATGTGGACCACATGATTTTCACGATCAGCAACCAAGATTTGACTTTTGCTGTCTGTCCCAATGCAACGTGGAACAAATTTTGTTACAGACTTCGAAGTTAAACCATTATATTGAAAACGGACTTTTCCATAAATGTTTAGGACAACAACTTGATAAGCATTGCAGTCTGCAATGCAGATATCTTTGTTTTTGTTTTCAGCAAGATATAACAAAAAATTTCCTGTTCCAAATATTGGTTTTCTCTTTCCATCAAACTGAATCTCTTGTATCAGCTCAGTTCCTGCATATCGATTTACTTTACTCTCTGAAAAATTTGGCTTCATCAAGCTAACCAGCAGTCCTCCATCAGATGTACTACAAAGGCCCTGGGGTGTCCAATCCTCATATTTTATCAATGGGGAAATAACTCCGTCTTTTACTTCCATGATGGTACAGGACCTGAAATCAGAGTACAGGAGATTTCCAGAGGATGTGACAGCAATATCGTGTGGAAATATTCCTGATACAGTATTTACTGTACCAATCTCAGACCCATTTATATCGACTCTCCTTATCCCTTTATCTTTTCCACTGATCCAAACCTCATTCCCTCTCAGGAACCGAACCCTTTTGATGTTTTTTAGGGGACTTTTTACATTGATAAGTACTCTGGCCTGACTGAAGACTGGGCTGTCAGCATACAGGGACACATCATGGATGTGCCCTCTATTGGAAGATACATGCTTTTCCACACAGGAGCTACACAGCCCTACACAACAGGTGTTACAGCGCAGCACTAAAGGGTTGACACACAAACTGCAGGTCTTCAGTGTCTGGGCTTGAGATTCCATTGTACACTACACTGTAGTTATTAATTTCAGTGTAACCTGTCAAAGAAATGCACTACTATTATTTTTTAAAATAATTTTTCAGAAAAGTATGCCTGTCGAGAAATTGTTTCAAATTATTTTTTGGTCAAATGTCAACTACATCGTCTATAAAAGTGATATAGCAATTGGAATATATATACAGTCAAACCTCGTTATCTCAAACTCGAAGGGACCAAAAAAAAATTTCGAGATATCCAAGGATTCGAGATATTGAGGGTAAAATACTTAAAGAATAAGCAGTTGGGACTTCCAAATCACTTCGACATATCCATGGTGTTCGACATATCCATGGTGTTCGAGATATCAGTGTTTGAGATATTGAAGTGTGACTGTATATATACTTAATATAATATACAAGTTATGTATATCGTTGATGAAGTCAGCAAGATTCCAGTTCCCCAAGAGCAAGGCTATTTCCTGAAGTGAAGCCGAGGGAAATAGGCTTGCTCAACAAGAAATGGAATCATGCCAACTCCATCAATGATCTACTTTTAACTGTTTTATTATATTGATACAAAAATTTTATTTTATATGTAGAATGTAGATAAATGAATAAACTCAACAGAAAGGCATTGCATTTGAATTATTGGTCTATAAAATACATAAATCTGCAAACAGTATTCTGTTAATTATGTCCTTCCTCCTTATATGTAACTGGTATATATTTCCAAATTTACTTTTACCTGAGAGCTACATTTATGCAGCTACAAATATACCTTCCATTTATTTCTCTTTGTCATGTCCCTAATCTCGGTGGAGATTCAACTCAGCCAGATATTTGGTCTGACCAAATATCTAGCCTAGCCAAATCTCCACCGAGATTATGTTGTCCTTATTGACCCAAGGATCAGGCCATGATCTGGTCATAAAAAAAATTCAAATTACAGTACCATACTCAGATACAATTGCAAGGGGATATTTCTAAAAGTGGAACAAGGGGTTACAGAGTAAATGGGTAAAGGGAAAAAGGATGTAAGACGATGAACAGGGAGGAAAGAGAAGCGGAAGTAAGAAGGAGAAAAGGGGAGTAAGAGAGAAGACATAAAAATTAGACTTCATCCCGTGATGATGATGGCATCCATATCACATAAAAGAAACAATTCATAGGCGCTTGGTTTCAGGAAGGTGTATTTTGTGTTTTATGTTTTTCTAGGTGTTTCTGAATACACTCATTAAAAATCAAAAATTGCTGAAATTAGCATGTTTAAAAATATCATATTACTGTATAATCTTTTTATATACATGTACAGTAAAATGATATTTTTTTAAATGTGCTAATTTCAGCAATTTTTTATATTTATTTTAATGAGAGTATTCAGACACACCTAGAAAAACACATACAACACAAAATACACCTTCCTGAAAAAGCGCCTATGAAAAGAAACGGTCGGATTGTGATTTTTTATAAGTCTGGCACAATCTCTTGATTTAGCTATATAGGTTTAAGCAATCCAGAATAGCTTGATTTAGCTATTTAATCACACTTTTTTCTTATATGTATTTTTCAGCATGTACAAAAAGTTCCACCTTGGTGCAGTGATAATATTCAACTTTGAACCCTTCTGGAAACAATGCATGTAAAAATCACCAAATTGTGTCTGCTTGAGAACTTTGCACTCAAAGTTCTAAAAGTTTTTGGGGCTATATAAAGCAATTGATTTGTGACCACACAGTTACTTCTTGAATGAAATTATTAAGGAGGTCAGTTATGGTCAACAAGATAATTAATTGGTAATAATTCATCACTATGAGAAGCAATCATACTTATCCTCGCCTCACCACACACACACTCACAAGGAGGTGTACATGTACTGTTATCCAAATAATGGTAATTCATCTTTTGCTTTAAAGTATTCAACAGCTGTAATATTAGAACTATCTTCGATTTGGGTTGCTTTAATTTATTTCATATAACCATGCTATCAAACGTTACATTGCATTAATTCTTATGTTACTTTTTAAACCTATTTAAGTAAAAGGGTTTTTGAGTTATAAATATGTCATGTACCAGTGAAGTTTGAAATAATATTTTATTTTCAGAAAATGTTCCGAATAATCGACTATCGTTCGAATAATGGAATCGAATAATCGACTAAGGAAAATAAATATTTTGACATCCCTAATATATATATATATATATATATATATATATATATATATATATATATATATATATATATATATATATATATATATTTGAATAATTAGTCAAGTACTTGCAATTTTTTGTTTTTTTCTTACCAAAAAAAAAAGTGAAAAACTGTACATAAATAGCTGTATCAAGCTATTTTGAATAGCTTTTAATAAGCTATAATATAACTATTTCAAGCTATATAGCTAAATCAAGAGATTGTGATGGACGTGTTCAAGGCTTCAGAAGCCACAACAGTATGGATATATAATTAATGTGTAAAGACATTGTATTCAATTAAATTCCATAATAATAAAAAAAAAAACAGTAGTATTTACCAGGAAGTTGAGGCCTGCCGAGGGCACGTGCACGAATCTACTTTCACTTTCGAAGAATGACGTACAGGTGATCATCTTCGCTAGCTAAGGATGACGTATTCTATGGAACGCCATAGCTGGTGGTTTTTAGCTCACCTGAGCCGAAGGCTCAAGTGAGCTTTTCTGGTCGAAATTCGTCCGTTGTCTGTCGTTGTCGTCGTAAACTATTCACATTTCCATCTTCTTCTCAAGAACCACTAGGCCAAATTTCAACCAAACTTGCCAAAAAGTATCCTTGGGTAAAGGGGATTCAAGTTTGTTCAGATGAAGAACCATGCCTTCTTCCAAGGGGAGATAATTATGAAAAATAATTCGTGAAAAATTAATGGCATCATTTAAAAATCTTCTTCTCAAGAACCACTGTGCTTGAAAACATGAAACTTATGTGGAATCATTGTGAGGTAGTGTAGATTCAATTTTGTTCAAATCATCACCCCCGGGGGAAGGGATGGGGCCACAAGGGTTGATCAAATTTTTACATAAGAAAAATCTTTAAAAATCTTCTTCTCAAAAACAGCAAAGCCATGATTGGTCATAATGATATAAAAGCATCCTCAGGTAATGTAGATTTAAATTTGTTCAAATCATGACCCCAGGAGAAGAGAGGGGCCATAACAGGTGATCATAGTTATACAAAGGAATATAAAGGATATATATCAATAAAAATTTTCAAATTTGTTCAAATCATAACCCCCCCTTCCCCGAACCACTTATATATTTAAACTTTTCAATACTTAACTGATTTCTGCTTTTTTTCCTAGCCAAAGTGCCCAGGTGATGTGGCCCCTGGGCTTCTTGTTTATGTTTTGCTTTGGTTATTTCATGTGAAGATGGTGCTTTTTTATGGTATGCTGTGGTTATTAGTCCCCTACTGACCTTGGTAAAATTCAGTGAGATTTAGTACCTTACGCCTAAATATGATTTTAAAACCAAATTAGTTGAATCTATATCGATTTGGAGTATAATATTTAATAAAAATCTTAGCTTTACAGGTAGTTATGTGGACTTTCAGTTTGAAACCGACTATACTTAAAATCAAATTATTTAAATACTACCGGTAGTACTTAATAAAGATTTGGAGTATGATATGTAGTGAAATATTTGCCTAAGGTAATATTTCGGACTTTTGGAAAGGAAACGCTGTAAATACGCATGTGTAAATAGGTAAAAACGTAAGAAAATAAATAGAAAAGGCCCATAGTAAATGCTGGAAGGGGTCGAGGAAGGGAGTGCATCCTGTTCTTATGCACCTAAACAGGAATCTCTGACTTTCAAACAACAGCAGGCGTTTCTATTTTTTCTTGTTAAAATATCTTCTAATTTTGCATAAACAAACCATAAAATTGAAAGTGCTCCCTGTATTCTAGCACTGTATCGACCTTTCAGAACTTTGAAGAAAATGAATTCTTCAATAAAACGGGCAACTTTTTTTCAGCAATTAAATAATCTGCCTCGTTCATACACATAGGCGGTGATAAACAGGCTAACGACGTACATGTAATACAGCACAAGCGTACGAAACGAAGCAATGGATTGATGATGAAATGATCCTCTTTGATAAGCTGAAAATGTGTAGATAAGTTGAATACCACAGTTGTGCAGCTGTTTATAACAGTTCTTAGACCTAGTGTCTTATCAAAAAATCTCTGGAAGGAAATTTACAGGATATTTCTATCCATCTTTTGCGGATTTTCTTAAAAATAAATTTGTAATCTTACTGTTCTTTCAAAAGCATGTAATGAGGCCAAAATAAAAAATACCTTTATTTCCCCTAACGCGACTGATCCAATTGAAACGCGCCGACTGGAAGGTTTTTTTTTCATAAAATATTCCAATATTTTTTTTTTATGTTTATCAACTTTTATAAAATAGAATTCCATAAAAAACCGTTTTTATCAGAACGACTGATTTTATTCTGTGATTGTTAAGCCCACAATATGTGGTCACAGAAGGTTAGTTCGTGTTTTAAAAGAAAGGCGACGTATCAACCTTATGCCTTTAGCATATAAGAATCCTACACTCTTGAAACACGTTGTTAATAAAGTATAATATACATTGACCTATTAAGAGTGTTTTGATTGTATTTACTTACCTGTCTTAAAATTAAGGTACGTATAGAGAGAATGCTTAGACCCGTAGGCCCTCTTCATGATACCCCTCATCAGCAGACAAGGGGCCCACCTTGTGAACAAACCAATCAATTTTACTTATTTAATTTGAGCTTTGATCTTATGAACAGTTCATCAATATTCCTATATTTACAATATGGGACAAAGAGAGTTGTAATTATGTCTGCATATTTCATCCTAATGAATAGAATTCAAACGTCCTTTCTCGATGCCGTTTATTCATGGGTTAAACTTCATGACTTTGACATTGTGTATGACATTTTACCATTTTTAGATACGGTTTGTCTCAATTTAATATTGTTAACATACTTTTTCCAAATAGATATGATATTATGATAAAAGCTCTCTGAGGCGTCCATGTATTTTTCTTCAAGGCCCTTGAAGATTGGTTGTTCCTTTGATTTGAATTCCTTTGATAATTATTGGGACAACAACATTTATTTAAACATTTGTCTAGTGAAGGGCTCCAAATTTAGAGTTGTACGCGGCACTTTAGGCCATTGAGCTGTGAGGGATCTTTTTTGTGCCAGTATCTATTGCGACATTGAACCCTTTTTTTTGGTTTCATTTGAAGAACAGGTCTCAACGTCCTGCATGGATTTAAACCTGCAACTTAGAGAAATAGTTCCTTACTTCGAGACTCCAAAACGAAATGCTCTAGAACCACTGCATATTTTGAAGCCCTGAAAAACTACATAATTATATATTCTGATGTCCAGTCCTTGCGTACCCGAGAATCTTTTAAACAGATGTCTTCAATTTCAAAAAATTTACTCTGGTATGAGATATTTCACAAGTTCGATTGAATAATAGCTGTGAATAAATTTACCTTAAATGTTGAGTCTAAATGGCATTTGTATGGTATTCTGGCTGTTTACAAATCGCTTTCTTTTTAAGGTATCATTCCATTCAATTTTAAGAATGTATTTTCAAAGCTGCTGTCAAAAAAAATTATTTGCCTACCTACCTACCCAACTTGAGATTTTTGGGTCGGGTTAGGGGAAACAAAGATATTTTTAATGATGGCCTGCCATAATTCTTTTGAGTTTTCACCGCTAAATATCAAACAGATTTGCAACGGAAACTGAACGGGGTATGCACCGAATTCACAGTTCGACCGCCTTGGCTATATCGAAATTGTCACTGCTGTCTTCACCCTATTTCCAAACTAATATTCCGCAATGGAGGTATACCGAAATATACTATACACTAAAGGTGTACCATAAAGTATACCATACACTAAACCGAGTGTACCGAAGTACGCTATACAGTGAGTATACACTAAAGGCGTACCGAGGTATAAAATGTTACAGTAAAGGCATGTTATGAGACCGACCACACCCGCCATGAACAAGACACATGCCGTACCGCTTTATACTTGAATCGTAATATGTATCGTATTGCAGAATGAGTATCGCACCAGCCTTAAAATTTTGCTAATGTTTTTGGTGTTATAAAAAAGTACTAATATACCACTGAATTAAGCTAACGATGATCAATACACCTGATATACTATTTATAGGAAATCGGCAAGATTAGCTTGAATTTATTAAATGATGAAGAAATATTTTCAGCATTTGGAACGGAAAGACAATGTCATGCAATATTTCTTAGCAGCTTTCCCCTAAACTGCTTGATCGTGTATGATATAGTAACGACTTGCAATATCATTTGACATCTCCCAGTTTATTCCATACTCAAGAGCATGCTCCGAGTACGATCGATTTTTAAACCAAGGCAGGCTACTGACAGATAAGTTGGTATTACTGGGATTTCAACAATTTCAGCATTCTATGGTCGTTATAATGACCTTGTTAGCAAATAAAACCTATCACTGGGTAGTATTTTGACTGACGTATTTCATACCAATTGTCAGGCCTTTTTGTTAAATACTAAATTTGACTATGGAATGTTCCTTCTGACTGAGCAATACATAGGACTCACGGCGGGTGTGACCGGTCAATAGGGGATGCTTACTCCTCCTGGGCACCTGATCCCACCTCTGAATTTCCAGGGGTGCGTGTTTTATGACATCTTCACAGATCTGTATTGTTTATATTTTTTGAGATCGATCACTGTTCGTTATTTTCACCTTTTTCATTTACAAGCTTTTTAACCGGATAAGAGCCCCCATCTTCTTAAGTCCACTTAATGAAAGTCATAATAAATGTTTATCGAGGTTATTTTATTTCTGCAAGATAAAAATACAGTATAAATAAAGTACAAAAAGTATAAAATGACTCCTTCATCACTTTATGATAATGTAATAATGCACCAGAATCTCACAACGAGCGCATCTTGTGTCTATCCAGAATCCCACTGTACTCTTGATGTTTATAAATACATGCAACAAATTGGCGCGCCGGGTCGGAATAATTTGTACAATTGGTGTAATGTGGTTTACATTAACTGTCTACGGTATACAATGTCATCATGCAGAGTTATGTACACTATGATAAATATACTGCTAAAAAATCTAATTACGGGCATGTAGTGTACTCTATGAATTATATATGTTCTTCCCATCATGGTCCATGTAGTTTTTTGTCTCAAGAGATATCAACTGTAAAGTCTGATGTCAACAAACTCTATGACATTTTGTGTTTTCAACATGAAAATGAGTGCATTTCCCTTAAAGCTATGTCATTTTGGTTTCTGAGAGCGAATCCATGATACCAACATGGTTTTTGATATTTCCCTGCGTGAATAATCTTTGGGTTTTTTTATTGGTGTTGGTCACCATCAAGTCTGTGCCCCTTTTCATGGAATTTGCATTGTGTGCTATTGCTGCCCTCCTCCATTAACCCTTTCTATTAAGTTTTAAGTTGTTTTTTCCTTCTGGTATGCATTGTACCAAATTTTTGACAGACAAATTGCAGAATGAAAACGGAAGAATATAATTAGAGGCACACAGAGATGAGTGATGACGTTCCAAGCTAGAATACCGTAAAAATCCTCGTGTAATCGAACAACTCTTGTTTTCTTCAATTCAAACATACTCACAACCCAGAGTGCCAAATTGCAAACGAGAAGAAATGTAACCACCGCTCTTCCAGGCTTCTGCATCATTTGATCGTCATTTTCGGCACATCTGCACAAACCATCCAATATAAACACTGTTTGTTCGGTTATCTGGCAAATTGCGAATATCGTGGTGATAAGCGACAAGATCCCAGCGATGTTTCCTTGTAAAGACGTAGAGACTGCGATAAGCTTAAAACAAAGGTAAATGTAGGAGCCAGCAAGTGCAACAAGCAACAACACAGAGTCTACGGAGAGAAACTGTGACGGGATAAACTTCAGTTTGGACAATCTAATGTAACCCCAAGCAATCCCGAGACCAGTGATGAACATGAGGACTATTTCTGTGGTAAACAAAACCTTGACGGCGGTGAACATGTCCTGAAGCCGGCTTTCGAAGACAAAAAATGTGGCGATAGCTATAAGAGTGAAGACAGCAACAAGTAAGCCAAGGAATAGACCCTTGTTTGCCTTGTCACAGTCAATGGCAGAAGCACCCGTTGGAGCCGAACTTGTGAATGAAGTGTGGCTAGGCCACCTCTGCTTGACACGGACCCCGATGTACTGATAAAGACGATAGATAATGCCAGCCCCGATGATACTGTAGATGATAGTGCAAGGAAATAAATAGGGTGAAGCTGACCTTGCCAGTGTGACTTCCTCGTAACAGCTTTTTGTCCCTTAAAAGAAAAAAAAACTTTAAGTATTACCCGATACTACCCTTTCTGTCATATAATTCATCTCTTTTTTTTAATTTAAAAAGAAAAAAAGATGAGTTTTTGATACCTTCAAACGACGTCGTCACATTGTTGACAATGTAGTTTTGCTGTCGATAATCCTCGTTGGTTTCCGTCACCGCCGTAACGATGAGAACACAAATATTGGTTGCCATCAGATGCATCATTCCAAAACGAACGAATGGCTTTTGCTTATTTATAACCAGCTGTGGAGTATAAATATATAAATGTAAAATAGATATAAAGGCTCGGTGTATAATGAATAAACCTCATTCAACAACTGGTTTGTCTAAATACACCATAATCTGTTTGTCTAAGTATCTTGTAAATAAACTATCATCAGGCTCGTAGGAATTGGGATTATTCTTAGTTTTATAGAAATATTCAATGATATGTGCTGAAAAGATTTTAAGTCGCTATGAAATGTAGAGTTTTAGCACGTGAGGAAAATTTGGTTTTCAGACAAACAAAGCTCAGAAAAAATTGTTTGCTGAGCATAGATTCTTCAGTGTTTCTGATAATACCCTTTTCTCAATATCATTACCCCCCTCCCCCTCCAGCAATTCAGAGGTCCAGTAGTCGGGAAAATCGTCCTATTCTAAGACTACATATTTCCGTACAAAAACTGTTACCTTGTGGTTCTTGAAAATGAAGAATGTCTGTACAAATGTAAACAACAGATGCATAACATAGACGAGAATGAAGATTTCGCTTTCGCATGTTTCTGTTGTAATAGTTTCAAAGTAAGTAGCAATATGGAGTCCATCCAAAGAAACACTACCAAAGGCAAACGCTGAAAAAAATTAAGAATTTATTGTTGAAAATATGACTAAAACCCAGAGCAATATATAGAAAGGTTTCCAAATGATTCTAATTAGTCTATAAGTTTCCAAATTTCACAAATTACCTAATGCGCCAAGACGCAAATAAAAGTTTATTCCCTCTCCGACATGGGCGACCCCACCCGGAGGTGGAAGTTCAAGGTGACTTTGGTAGCTAATGGCGGCAAGGGAAACCTGTTCAGCGTTTGATTCCTTCTTTTCCTGGTCCAGTGGTGTCTTGTCGTCAGGCGACGAGCGAATCGGAAGTGGTGACGCAGTGGGAGACATATTGACGCTACCATCGTTTCTGATCGAAACGCGAACATGGTTTTCATAGAAATTGTTCTTGACTTTGACGCCACTAAGGAGACAGAGCAAGAAATAGAATAGAACTCCCAGTGATGTAGCGTAGAGATAAACCAAAAACACCTGTAATACAAAGTATTCAACTCTTAGTTAAACGCAATCTACGAATTATCTATGGTAAAAATGTAAAGAACTAGGGGTAAAAAAAAGTATATATTTCATATAAAAATGTAAATATATATTATTTTCTCCGAGAAGAAAACACATAAAATTATCGATATAATGTAGAAGGGATGTGCTCATTTACAGAGGAAGATTTCCATAATTGTTTCATGCTGACAAAATTATGTAATGTCTGCTCATTTGAGTTTGTACGGAGGTTAAACATGTCGTGTGATTTCGTAAAAAGTGGTTTTCACTGCTATGTCGACCAAAATGATAATAAAGGTATTCAACCCTTATAATAAGCTCAAAAAAGTTTTTTAGAACCTAATTATACAGTATGTATATCAGCTCAATGTAAATTGTATGTGGCTAGTTTGAGTGTTCACAAGCTACCAAATGATCAAAGGTAGATGCAGAAGACCTAAGAAGATGAAAATATGAAAGCATTTTAAAAGAGTATTTGATATGAAGAAAAAATCTATGTTTGACCAGCCACTGCAACTGATGTTTAAGATGGTATCTAAGGAAACATTTCATTCACATCTATATTATCTTTCTCTGACAGCTTCTTCCTGATATATAATCTGATTGAGACCTACCTCTAAGTGGTATTGGTGTTCCTGATATTTAACTTGATGGAGATCATCTTCTCTAACCAAGGGTTTCTTATCCGCTACTCTCCTCTCAAAAACTTAAAGTTTGCGAGGAGAGTAGCGAATCAGAAACCCTCGGCTAGCGAAGATGGATGGAGAGTATTGGAGACATACCTTTAGTAATATTGGTGTACCTGATACTAGTATATACTCTAATAGAGACTAACCTCTAAATAGTATTGGTGTACCTGATACTAGTATATAATCTAATAGAGACCTACCTCTAAGTAGTATTGGTGTACCTGATACTAGTATATACTCTAATAGAGACTAACCTCTAAATAGTATTGGTGTACCTGATACTAGTATATAATCTAATAGAGACCTACCTCTAAGTAGTATTGGTGTACCTGATACTAGTATATAATCTAATAGAGACCTACCTCTAAATAGTATTGGTGTACCTGATACTAGTATATAATCTAATAGAGACCTACCTCTAAATAGTATTGGTGTACCTGATACTAGTATATAATCTAATAGAGACCTACCTCTAAGTAGTATTGGTGAACCTGATACTAGTATATAATCTAATAGAGACTAACCTCTAAATAGTATTGGTGTACCTGATACTAGTATATAATCTAATAGAGACCTACCTCTAAGTAGTATTGGTGTACCTGATACTAGTATATAATCTAATAGAGACCTACCTCTAAGTAGTATTGGTGTACCTGATATTAGTATATAATCTAATAGAGACCTACCTCTAAGTAGTATTGGTGTACCTGATACTAGTATATAATCTAATAGAGACCTACCTCTAAGTAGTATTGGTGTACCTGATACTAGTATATAATCTAATAGAGACCTACCTCTAAATAGTATTGGTGTACCTGATACTAGTATATACTCTAATAGAGACCTACCTCTAAATAGTATTGGTGTACCTGATACTAGTATATAATCTAATAGAGACCTACCTCTAAGTAGTATTGGTGTACCCTCTCTACTGCCGTTAGCGAGGTCGCCACCGCAAACACCACTCCAAGCACCACGATGATCAGTGCATAGATACCACACACCAACTTCACAAGGGCAGACCTGTCAATAGAAATTCAGGTCAATCCTTAAGACATGCAAGATCTGTTTTTCTCTCTCAAGTTGAATAGGTTCTCGTATGGGGCATTTAATTAATTACCAATGATGACAGTGTGCTCAAATCTTTTGCATTAGGATTTATCTTTCTGTTTCCAAGAAAGTTGGCGTTTCCTCTAGTATAACTACGACAGTCATTGGACAATGAAATTGGGTCATAGAGACCAGATACACTGCATATAGTTAAGGCACAAATTAGGTTAAAATTGCTTAGCCTATTTATTAGATTTATGCAAAGTTTTCCATAGAAAATTGAACATTACGTGAATTTATAAACACTAACATTAAGAAATTGCATGCAAAGATCTCTTATTAGGACCATTGGGATGACTACCAAAGTTTACAAAAATTGACAAATCAATCAAGTATACATGTATTTGAAATCAAGGTAAATGACATCAATCAACATAACATAAAAGTGTTTATATCTAACGGATTCTTTTTAAAACATCAGAGTTTGTTATAAAATTATTCTTTTAGTTAATCTAGAAAATAATTTAGCTATCAGGTCAATCGGAAGTAGCCAAGATAAGCCTCCGAACAGAATATTGGGACACAACTCTATCAAAGCTCATCACGCGCTATTGCACGTCTTTCTTAAACTGATTAAAAATTTGGTCAGGTCTTAAGTTTTTGATTTTTTTTAATCACCTGCTAAGCTTCAAAGGAAGTCTCTTGCTGCGCACGCACCACTAGCAAAGAGCTGTCAGATGGGAAATTCATCGAGGTTTGTACGCGGGATATATTTTCGTAACTTACAGAGATAATATTTCCTTATCTACTGTGTAGTTCGTTGATAGATTATCAGTCATTAGCCACGAATTTGGCCCTACAGCGACCAGTCGTTACCGCATGATCTGCTATCTGTACCAAATAACAATTTTTTATGTTGCCATAGCAAATTTTAAATTTCTGTTAAAATTGTTGATGAGATTACATGAAAAACGTGGTATAATAAATTATAGAAGAGAATAAATAGGATACAAATAAAAAATCAAGCTGTACATTGAAAAAAAAATCATGAGATACTAGTAGCCAAACCCAGAAGACCAATATTCTTCGAACCAAAGGATAAATGAAGCTCACTGGAATACCGATTAACCTTAAGATGTTCAATCTTCAACAAGCACAAAAAGTAAAAGTTAAACAGAAGACTTGTAGATAATGTTACTGAATGACAGCAAGGGTTGCAAGTCAGCTACTGTACTAGGAATCTGTTTGCAGTTTCCACCGTGACATACTGTGTTTTTATTTTTGATTTACAGCTCGCATCTGTTTATTAACAAAATAGTATTTCCTCTGCATAATCTAAGGTTTGGGGTTTCCTATTATGAATGAGATTGTGGGAGGGAAATGCATCATTATCACGGCTAGTGAAATTGGTTTCACATGAAGCATTGGGAATTATCTGTGAAAGTGCAGGCAAACCCAGGCGATACCATAATGTGTCAGTTTATTAAAAAAATACGAGTTTCCCAAATCATTCTACACTTCTTTCCACAAATCTTTCTACACATTCTACAAATCTTTCTTTTCGGTTCTTTGGCTTAAGCAAATACTTTCTTCTTGTAAATCGCCCCATGATACCTATTAAAGCCATGTATTCCTAATTTATAAATGTTAATTAAAGGTTAAGCGTTGCTTCACATCTGTTTTGGAATTAACGTTGCCAATAACGCTAAGTTGAGATGTGAATTTCTTGTTATCACTTTTTTGTGGCTTCGCATCTGCCGAGATTTGGGTCAGTGATACAACACGGTTTTCTAGCTTGGCATCTTTATGTAGTAAAATATTCCGGTGAGAAATATCCGTCGTTATGGAATTTTAATGCCCTCATTTCGTTTTTTTTTTTCTCCCTTCATTTTTTTTTTTTAAAAAATTCTCACTATGTTGTATGGCTTCCAGTTAACAGCACATGCACACATGCATAGGAATAAATATATATTTCAACATATTTAAAAGATTTTTGAAACAAAATTCTAAATAGGAAACAGTTATAGTAAAACCATACCTGTATACAGGTGGCACTCTCTGCTTCTTTTTCTTAGGTTTAGCTTCGTGAAGAGGCGTTGAAGTATCCACCGGTAAAGTGTCTGTGTTTCCGGCCATGTCATCTACTGTTTTCCCTTCCTCTTCCATATTGGTTTTGGTCTCACTTTCTGTATCTTCCTCTGTCGTTTTCCCCTCCTCTATGTCGTCTACGCGTTGTGGTTCGTTCACGATGTAAACGCCAGAACGACGCAGCATAATATTCAAAAGCGCCTCCGTTGTCAATCTTTTAAACTGCAACCACTATACGCAACACAAAGCATAAAAGCCCCCACTTTGAAATATTTTCGGAAATGATGCTCTAACGGTTTAAATAAATCGCTACCAGATGCCAGCTGAGAGAGGTAGCGTACCCAGTGTGGTTCTGCTTGCCAGATCGTAAAAAAATAGTATATAAAACACTGATTTAGATGGTTTCCACATTCAAGACAAAGGTCAATCGTTTATCAATTGCGGTTCTGCAATAATTCTGTAGTAGATATTTTCGAAGAATTTTTATGAATAAACAATGATACAGACAACGTTACTGTCGGCTGCTCGATCGCTTACCTCTGGCACGTGACGAAGATGAGAGAATCCCTAAGCAAAAGATAAAAAGCTCCGGGGTCTAATGTGAGCTTCAGAAGATAATGTAAGCAAAATACCGAAACTCATTCCTTGATTGATGCTTTACTTATACTTTTGGATACAATTAATAAAAGACAGAATGGAAACGACTAAAGTCCAGTTTTACTGATCATACAGTAATAAGCTACATATTGTATATATTCCCCCGTCTTATCGACCATTTGCAGCTACTACATAGGCATTTTCATTTACTGATTGAAATGTCTCTACACTTGTTTTTGTTTTACAATGTAAGCTATTGCTTTAATTAAGTATAAAGATCCTTGATTGATTTCTTGTAGTCTCGATCTTCTCAATTTTTAAGATATATTTAATGATATTCGTGTATTCAGTAATATAAAATTTGGCATATAAAATGTGCTTTATTGAAAATTCCATGATTAAATGGGAAAAGGAATTGGTGTCCCTTTGTATCAAAATTGTGAGATGAGGTGTTTTACACGTCTGTGTGTCCGTGCGCCCTTACCAGTGTTGTGGACGCAATATAGAGAATACCAAATGTTACTTCCGATTTCAATTTCACAACTGCTTTAAGAATTTAAGAAGCAAATTTAAAAGTATTGAGTGCAACGGTCAAGGCAAGACAGTGATTTGCGAAAGCAATGTTGTGGACAATTTATAGGATTCCATTTGACTTTATTATTTTCAGTCAGTTCTGTTAGAATGGCAATCTAAGGTAAAAAAAAAAATCAAAGACAATGTTTGGTTTTTATTAATAGTTTGGATATATAATTTTTAAGTTGCTAGCTGACTATTCAGAACCGAGTAGGTGACAGGAGAAAGTGTTCAAATGTCAAGGTTAAAATTAAACTTAATAAAGATATATGATAACTGTGTTTATCAAATTCTGAGACTTCAGATAGTTGGACGAGTGCAGATTGTGACGATATTATATAAACCCTTGTAATCGTCCATTGTGTCCACTTTGTCCAGTAGGAATTTAAGGGTCAGTTCAATTCTCGATCATCACCATGAAGGTTCTGCTACTCTCAGCATTAGTTACCGTCGCCGCTGCTTTCCCTAACTACAGGGACTTATTTCCCAATGGATACTCAGTCCCTAACCCATGTGCTGCTGATACCTGGGAAGCCGTAGGGCACTTTGATCCGCATCATCACACAGTAGCCAAAAATCAGTTCGGAAAAGTAAGAATACTGGCCTCGTATAATGATATAACATTAGTTAGGGCACATTTTGTTAAGTAAATGAGAGAAGTTTGAACTTTATTAGGATTGGAATTCTGCAGGAACTAATTCTAATATATATTTAACATTTCTCTTATTCACTTCTTCGACAGGATTTTTCAGCCGCTGGCCACGTGTGGACCGAGGCACTGTGTAAAACTGACTCTGATGGGGATGGGAGAACAAACGGGGAGGAGTTGGGTGACCCTGCCTGTAACTGGACACCCGGAGACAGACCTGCGGGCACCGCCTCAGGACACCCAGGTAGGGCACCTGTCTCAGGGCTGATTTATCACATAATTTTAAAGTCAGAAACTATGTATGAATAATACAATTGCAGTCATTAATATTTGCTCGAGTAAATGTATAACTGAAGTATGAAAAAAACAACAACCTTGTTTCAATTTGCTGAAAAAACATGGGATAAGTAGTGTAAAATGTAGAAGAAAATGAAAACTCTATGGATAAATACAAAATTGTCTTCGTTTTTTCATTAATATTACAAAAAACAGTAGACGTGCAGTTAAATCTAAACAACATATTGCAATCTGCTTAAAATTGAAAGCACTCATGCAATCCAAAGTATGTAATGAGAATGATTTTTAACTATATATTTAACGTAATATATTATAATATATATTCCCCACATGCGTCAGTTCCCATACGTGTATATAACCTTAATGTAGAGATGTTTATGAAAAACAAAAAATATAAACGGGCGAAAAAAAGGCCACTATATACATTGAAAGTATAGTTGGTATCCTTTATTAGTATTTCTACTTATTAGAACAAATAAAAACAAACAACAATAAAGAACAAAAAAGAACAAAAAGCAAATAAAAGAGTAAATAAAACAAACACATCAAACGAATTCTGTATAGGAACAATGAATAATTTGTTATTCTATTTACAGGCATTTGTGAGCCAGTTGGATCAACTGCTTGCAGTGGCCAAGCTTTCAGATGTGGTTGTCATGGTAGTCAATGTGTAGGAAAATAAAATGACACTCTAAATATCTCCAATAAAGTATTAGGATATAAGAAATAGTATTAATATTTCTCACCTTCTTTTTAGACTAATATTGCGGGAAGATCCTTTTCTTCTTGATGGAAGAATATCATTACAGTCAAACCTCGTTATCTCGAACTCGATGGGACCGAGAAAAAACTTTGAGATATCTGAGGGTTCGAGATATCGAGGGTAAAATTCTTAAGGAAATCCGAATACTTGGTTAGGACTTCCCAATCACTTTGACATATCCATGGTATTCGAGATATCCGTGTTGTAGATACCGAAGTTCAACTGTATTTACAGTGTAGTCAAGCTGTGGCAACATGCGTGCTGTACGTACTAAGAGTTGAAAGGCTCGGAAAACAACAATGTTACAACAGGCGCAGGTTAGTCTTGACAGTCCTATGACCCAATGTCTCTTAATAGGTGGATGGAAAGTCAGACTCTCAAAGGGACACAGGCATGCATCAATCGCAAGCTATAGTTTATGGAGTTTAGATTAAAGCAATACAAGCTGTCAGCGGCGGCAATTTTTTAACTCAATTTTGTGTGGTAAATTAACAATAATGTGTTACAAATAGATAATCTGCAAGTAAAGACATTAATCTTTATTTTAAAATCTCTAATCTAAAATTTAATGTTTCATTTATGTTAACTATATTTAACTACAAAAGCCATAATTTAGTAAATCTACTAATACAAATCTTGATCATTATAGTTTCACGACTTGTAAACTATGACAAACAGCTCAACACTTTAGTTAACATGCGTTTTTATATACAAAAAAACAACTCTCAACTATAGTATATGGCTCCGATTCACAAAATGTTTAATGATAAAAAATTTGATTTTGAATTGAAATGATGCATTTTTATTTATTTTATGACTCAAGGTATAGTTTGCGATGCAAAACTTAATGATCGTTCATTAATTTCCTTAACTATATTAATATTTCGACAACTAAAAATTATGATTTTAATAAAAATAATTTTATGACATTTACCCTTTAAATGTTCCTAAAGAGGACAAGGCTTGTACATGTATTTCAAGTTATTGCAAACCACGGGTTCCTATAGTGATCAATTCCCTTCCACGATTCTGGTTTGTGTAGTAGAAGGGACACTAAGTAATACCTGACACAGATCGATAACACAAAGAAACAAAAAACAGAAAAATAGTATATCTATTTTTAATTGAATTGATTGATTTTTTTTTGTTGTTGTTGTTTTTTTTTTTTTTTTTTGGTTTTGTTTTGTTTTGTTTTTTTTGCTCATCTCAGTTTGTTTCCTACCTTAACCTTGGATCGAATATTTCAGTATTACAATGGAGAAGTTTGGTCATGTTGAGAATCAAGGTGAATAATATACATTTATTGACTGGGTTCGAGTACAACATGCGTTTTGTCGAACCCAAGAACCAAACGGCCTCAGGCAAACAGTTTGGTTCGAGGGGTCGACAAAACGCATTTTGTCCGGGAACACAGTCGATAATTTTTTGTTATACCTTTTACTTATTTTTTTTATTTTTTTTTTACATACATGTATCTTGTGCTGGCTTCGATTATGTAAATTTCCTTACTCGCACTGCGATAAAACTCGGTCAATTCTGTCACTGTCGAACACCAACGAATGCAAACAAGATTTAGCTGATCCCGCCCACAGTGTGACGTAAACGGTCCAATATTTCATCGACAGGTCGAATATCTCACTTTGCGGTCAAATATCGATTTTTTAATGACCATTCAGTAAAAAATTGGAAATGTTAGAATTTTTTTGGTCAATTTTTAAAGGTATAACAATAGGATTTAATTATCACGAGGGACAGTGTGGGGTACAGACACAACTTGTTTGCAGTTTCAAACTGGATCCTTTTTTATATTCATGAATTCTATTCATCGGTAAAGCTGTAAATACTTTGGAATAAACGTACCCATTAACCTGTTTACTGTTTAGGAAATACTTTTTCGACGAGTGACTAGTCCCCAGTCTCTATACAAGATTAGTCAAGGCAAGGCTGACGATTATCTTGGAAGAGAACTGCTGCCTTACCTAGCTATAGTCACTTATTGGGAAAATATCAACTCGGAATTTACAGTTTCTGGGAATAACCCCTCTGTTTACTCTTATAAAATTTTGTTTTAAGGTCAGACATTTCCTGAATAATTCTATACTGGAACGGTTTTTGGTTTACATATTTTTCAGACATTTTGAAAATAGTTTAGAAATGAGATAGTGATATTTATAAATATTTTTGGTATATTACAATGGAATACAAAAACAGATATTCAAGGAACGAACGTGTCGTCAGACCTTAATAAACGCTAATGATAAAAAAAAAATTACGATTCATATTTAAAATACACACAAGCTTAGCTAGTATGCCTTGTTGGAAAAATTTTGACAGAAAAGACATTTTTCTTGACAATTTTATAAAAGAATGACAGTAATTCCTCCCAGTTAGAGTTATCTCCCTTAACAGATGACCAATGGACCTTAAAGCACACCCGTTTAGGTCTCTAAAATGAAAATTCCAAAACCCAAGTGCTCATTCTGATTACCAATCATATCTGACTTTCATCTAAAAATAAATGAGCACGAGTTTTGATGACAGTACATGTATATTTACATCCACTGAATATTATTTCCTTTATTTCTTATAAAAACTATTGCCGTTAATCAGTCCATAAACAACACTAAGCAAGCCACCTGCATAGATTTCTTAAGCAACGATTGTTCCATCAAATATGCATATAATGACATACACACCTATAATATTTAATTTACTTTGACTGTTTTTTTTTTAATAAAGATATAAATATAAACAATAAAATGTCTTTCTTTCTTTGTTAGTACGGGAATTAACGTCACAGCTATTGCAGAAAAAATTCACATAACCCGCTTCCGCGGGTTTTGTATTTTTTTCTGCAACAGCTGCGACATTAATTCCCGTACTAACAACCAAAGAAAGGATTTTATTGATAAATAAAGAGGGAATAGACATGGATGACACAGTTTTACCAGAGATTTCTTTGCAAAGTGCTTGTACAAATCTAACGAGACTGCTACAGCTCAAATAATTATTCCATTAAATAAATATAACCAAACCAAACAACCCCCCCCCTCAAAAAAAAAAACTCTTAACACTGGCATCTTGGGATCTTGACACTGGAAATTGACCATCTGCTGGACAGTCTGACAATGTCATATCGTTTTCTCCCAGCTTTTATCACCCCGTCTTAATTCAACTGGACATTGGTGGATTATTAGTAACTTTATCTTGGAACATGAAGGTTGTTCTACTTTTTGCACTTGTCCCCTTTATTGTGGCAGCCCCATTCTACAGGGGTATGTTCCCTAACGGCTTTATGGTACCCAACCCCTGTGCTGATGGTGTCTGGGTAGCTGTCGGTCACATGGATCCTTTCCATCACACTCAGGAGAAAAATCAGTTCGGAAAAGTAAGACTTTTCCCCCAGTTATGTTCTTTTACGAACGTTTATGTTTATTACCGTTATTGCAAAATGTTACCGAATATATATATGAAAGACTGTAAACGACATTTTTGCTCGATAATTTGAATATTTATATGTTCACATATTGACAGATTTTTAAAAAAAAAAAATATTCAGATGAGAAAAACAGGTTTGTGTCGTGTCGCCCTATTGGGTGACCGCACTTATCTTGGGAATTTGTCTAGCTCGCTCGCTTGTGAGAGACCCTTATTTATAATGATTCTGCTTTTCAGCCACCAGGTCCAGATTAGGTTTGGGTGCACTGTAATAAGGAAAAGCAAAGCGTGGATCAAATTAAAAACGATGTTACTTTATTCACGTCTCCGAATAGAATGCACAACAAAAAGTCACCAGGCACAATAAAATAAATCATTATGAGTTGCTCGTAGCATTACAAACAAGTGTGCCTTAACCTACCTAACATCTGGTGACTCATAGAGTGATTAAACAATATTAAAAAGACTCACTCTATATAATAAAAAATCTAGACAATGTAATTTCCAACTGAAATACTAAAGCTCGTACTTTTGTTTACACTGGATACATTTAAATTTACCTCCCTCGACTGGAGAGTTTGATAATAATAATAGAGCCAAACAAAGAAAGGCATTATATTTCCGGTATAAAACCGATAAAAAGTAAAACGTGTCTAACTATAAAACTACACTCTACATAGGACTACAGCTACCAAAATACAAGAAAAATCATAAGAACACACATCAAATATAAATGCCCTGATCTCAATATAATACTTTTATAATAGATTTCTATTTTAATGAAAGCTCAAATTTTGTAAACTAAAGCTCAAATTTTTGTAAACTCCAGAAATTAATTGCAAATGTTAATAAATAATTAATTAATCTTTTCTTTATAAATTCTAGAAAAATAACTTAACCAAATAAAACATTTTTACCATACCTGTAATAAGGAAAAGCAAAGCGTGGATCAAATTAAAAACGATGTTACTTTATTCACGTCTCCGAATAGAATGGCCGAGTTGCGGGCACAATTCCATTCGGAGACCCACGCTTGCCGTGAATTATTTTGTCCAATCAAATTAGTTTTTCTTTGTTAATTTGTATCAATAATAGCCAAAATATCGTATTTTGAAAAATCACATGACATGAACTGACCATTACCTGAGTATTTGACCTGCCACTTAACAAGTTAATCCCCTAACAATAGGTTAATGGATTCTACTTCGTTTGATAGTGTTTTTGACACTAGATAAAAAAGATAAAAGAACCCATAAATAAATATACAAAAAAAGCACATCACCTATCTACAAATTACTGCTGTTCTCTTTTTCCAGCAAAATTACATAATTGTATGGCTAAAGGCTTAAACAGTTTACTAATCCCTCATGCCAAATCTTCTGAGTAACACATATTATTTATTTTAGACAATTACCTGTACTTATTTTTTTCTTCAAAGACATTCCTTCTTTTTCATCAAATAAAATACT